GTCCCATTAGTTAAACAACCACTGCTGCTTGCTAATGAACTGTTGCCAGGCAATCAATAAGGTTCACATGGAAGATGGAGGGGGAGGAGAGACACTGGATATCACCAGACAGGCCCTTTCCAGAAAGCAAAGGTTTCTCAACTGAGGCAAATATGGATACTGATGTATACTGATTGTTTGCAACATTTGTCAGAAAATGCTATCTGCAGTGCTTTCTGTGTGCGTGAATATATGTCCCTTAGAAATCTGAGTTGCATTGCTTAGCTTCCACAAAGGTGCAGGGCTCCATATAGAAGTATTAATCCTCACAGGGAGAACTACTCTATCTTTGATAACACTAGTATCTTGAATAATATCCTCTTTGGCAGGGTTGTCTCAGTTTGGGCTTTGAGACTTCGTATTTTTAACAGAACGTCTGTATAAAACCCCAGAAAAGGTGTGGGTGTTTAATAGTTACGGTCTAGTGAAAGATACTAACAAAGTTGCATCATGGGAAATGTAGGATCCAGCACATTTGGAGCTTAACCCATACTAGTGACAAAAAAAAAAAAAAATCTGGATATTTTGGCCTCTGCTGTTATTCTTTTGATGAGTCATGCAAGCCCTGCAACTTCATGGAGGTGCATTTCTAAGTTGCTGGAATATCCCTTTGACTATGCATCAGTCAGGTCCATGCAGCGATATGTATATTTGTATGTGTGTTCCACTGTTGTGAGAAAATTGTAAAAACTTGACAGTATGTACATGTATGTTTCCTCAGGCACAATGGCCATCCCTCCTTCATACTCTGACTTGGGAAAATCTGCTAAAGACATCTTCAACAAGGGCTATGGTAACTTTAACAAATTCATAAAATTATTTTATTCTAACTGTTTTGGACAAAGCTATGCTGAAGCAGGATGTTTATTTTTGCCGCAGCTGTCTTCGAGCCATGCTGTGCACTACAAGGATGTCGTTTTTTTTAGTAAATTCCCTGATGTCCCTTCTCCCCAGGCTATGGAGTCCTCAAGCTTGATGTTAAGACCAAGGCCCAGAGTGGTGTTGTAAGTACTAATGTTGTCTCTGTAAGCCTGATGTGTCTAAATTTCATGCTCAGGCCTTTCTCTCAGTGGTATACATCAAATGGCTGACTCACGGACTTGCAGCAGTTCATGTCAGAGTGTGTTTGCTGCCTGACTTGTACTCAGTCTAACATTCAGAGTCAGCAGAGTAACACGAGTGTTTAGGTCGTTCCAGACACTCTGTCTGTTTTGCTATCAACTTGTTGCCATGGCAAAACCATAATGAGCACTTGCATACAGAGTTTCCCACATGCAACAAAATTCAAGCCTCATTAAAAAAATAAACATTGTAAATGTATTCACTCTGTGTCCAAACTCACAGGTTTCCGCTCTGTGTAGCGCTGCTTTTCATTGTCACAGTGAGCGGATTCATTCCTGCATGTAAACTCTGTGTGGTTCTCCCTAACTTTCTCTCTTTTCTCTTTTTTCTGCGTCTCCTTTGGACATTCCTGTCAGATGGTAAGAGAGCGTGTGTGCGCATATATAATGATTAAACACAGGTGCACTGCAGGGTAAGCCAGTGGTACCAGTTGCGTGTTTGTGTACCAACAATGTTTGCAGGCTTTCTGCCAAGTGTTTCTTTACAGCCGTAGTTCATGTAAGTGCCACCATTACCCCAAACTGCTGCACCAGTAACAGCACTGATCCTCAGATCCGCTCACAACCAGCCTCTCCCTCACAGTCCTGCCTATATTTTCAGTTTTCCCTCTCAACTCATTTTTCCATCTTAAGAGTTGTAGTTCTTCATTTAAATAACCAGCCATACAAACCTGAGAGGGATTGTGTGGCAGAGGAAAAGCAGAGAAACGATGCTTGTTACACTCATTTTCTTTCTCTCTCCCTGAATGCTTTCTCACCCTCTCTGCCTTTAGTTTCATAGCTGGGCTCTAATGTGCCAATGTGCCTTTCTGCTTCTCTTCCCACCTCATTTCCTGTCTTCATCTCCCCCATCATCACTCCATCCCTCTTTGTCCTGCAGGAGTTTGCCACCTCTGGTTCCAACAACACAGATACAGGGAAGTCAGGCGGCCACCTGGAGACCAAGTACAAAGTGAAAGACCTGGGCCTCAGCTTCAACCAGAAATGGAACACAGACAACACTCTCACCACAGAAATCACCGTGGAGGACCAGGTAGAGTGAAACAAACAGCTTATTGAAAAAATGTTCAAAACATCAATATATTCACTTTCAGACCAAATATTAGCTCAGTTTGTCTCCTGTCTGTCTGTCTGCAGCTGGCTAAGGGCTTGAAGCTCAGTCTGGACACATCATTTGTGCCTAACACTGGGTAAGAGCGATCCTGTTCATGCTGCGTAGTTTTCAATATTTCAATAAATTGACAACAAAGTGAATAAATCAGTCAGTCAATACAGATGCATGCTATAAACATATTAATAATGCAGTACTGCTATCTCATTGACCTTACCTCTTTTCTTTCCTTGTTATTCCTTTTGTAGAAAGAAGAGTGCCAAACTGAAGACTGGTTACAAGCGTGAGTACGTCAATGTGGGCTGTGACCTGGACTTTGACATGGCCGGTCCCACCGTCCACGCAGCTGCTGTGCTGGGCTACGAGGGCTGGCTGGCTGGTTACCAGTTGGCTTTTGACACTGCCAAATCTAAACTGACCCAGAACAACTTTGCCCTTGGATACAAGGCCGGTGACTTCCAGCTTCATACCAATGTGTGAGTCAATACATCACAGTGAAGAGAGGCAGGAAATGGAAGTGATACACCGGACGAAACATTTCCTCAGGATGAAACATAAAGTTAAGACTAATGTCCACCGCTGCTAATCTCCACCTTTTGTGTTTGCGTTTTTGTATTTAAGCAATGATGGCACAGAGTTTGGTGGCTCCATTTACCAAAAGGTGAACGGCAACCTGGAGACAGCGGTACACCTGGCCTGGACAGCTGGCAGCAACAACACACGCTTTGGAATTGGAGCCAAATACCAGCTGGATAAGGATGCCTCCCTGTCTGTAAGAACTGACTTCCAAACATCACGGACACATCTGAACTGCTAAAGAAAATCCTCACGAGTAGAGTTAACAGTGACTGTGACTGTAGTGCATAGGGAATTATATGTTTCAGTTTGGGAGGAAAAAGGGAAAATATCCTAGAAATATCTTAAAAAACAGTCTACAGCTACGCTAACATCTATGAGACTGTACTTAGCTACGCTTTGAGCTAAATGAGCCCAATGGCAATGTTAACATGCTTAGTAACATGTATATTTGTTCACTATTGTTCACCATCTTACTTTAACGTGTTAGATTCATTCCATTAATGTCTGTACAAAATTTCATGGTCATCATCCAGTAATTGTTGAAATATTTCAGTCTGGACTAAAGTGGTGGACCAATGGGCCATCATTGCCATTCATAGAGCCACACTGCTACCGTGGCTAATGGAAATGACCTAAATACACACTCACTCTTTATAATTTCCCGACATACATTTCAAGCCATCATCTAACTCTTCTGCAGTTGTTTACCCGAGGCTAATGTATCTACATATACATATATACTGTATATGATATAAATTATGTAACTGCATCCTAATTCCCAGTCTCCTAATGCTGTTCATGGCTACCTCACCCGTTCATGATGTTCTGTTTCTCCTCACAGACCAAAGTGAACAACGCCTGCCTTGTTGGAGTTGGATACACACAAACCCTCAGGCCAGGTTAGTCAACAGCCATTACTTTTTAAAAAACTAATTCCTCTAGGGCATAGGCATGGGTGCTTGACGTATAATCTGACACTCTTCCATGCAGGAGTGAAGCTCACCCTCTCAGCTCTGATTGATGGAAAGAACGTGAACGGCGGTGGACACAAAGTCGGCATGGGCTTCGAGCTGGAAGCATAAAGATTCAGCAGGAGGACAGACAACAAGAGAGAGGGGAGAGCAACACGGGAGAAGAATGAAGAGCCCAAATGTGACAACACCACAAAGGTCCACTCCGTGGCACACAAACACATCTTCCCTGCACCCTGAATCCTACACACATATGCACACAAACGCACACATTGTTTGGCCTTAACCCTGAAACCCTAAACAGCCTCCAAGAACTTCAGTACTGTAATTTTTAAAGAAATCAAACATTATTTTGTGTTGGTTATTTTTAAATTTTACATTATTTACAGGTCCCACAGCTGACCTTTGAGCATATATTATACAATATAAATCATGCAAAACCCCTGTTCTCTAAATAATGTGTTATTTAATTATCAGTTTGACCAGACAAAGTGCACTTTTAATAGAGCATTTGTCTCAGACATATCTGTATTCTTTCTGAAATAAGATATGAAGCACCTTCTCATTTTGACTGTGTGGTCAGGTAATTTTTGTTCAGATATATTTTGGGTTTTAGACCGTAAAAAGATCATTAGACGATGCTTGTTTTGGTATATTGTGGTTTTGTTGCATGCTTTTAAGGCTAGCGGGACGTTTTTGACTTCATTGTCACATTGACAAGTACAGTGACTGTAAACAGATGCAATAAAAGCTGGAGAGAATCAAGCAGAAAAGACAAGGAGTGGCTGATCCTTCTCTGACTGAGTGGACTAACTTTGATTCCACCATTTGACCTCAGTAACACAGTCATAAACTGTGAACCTTCAGTTGCCAAAATGTCTATTTTTCAGGTCCTGTTTGGTAAAAATGGGCCGATTGGCAGTTTGGATCTCTGTGTCACCTCTTTGTCTTGTCTCGTTTTGTGTCCTGTACGTGTTCGACCTTTACCACTACATTTCACTCTATCTGTGCTGTGCTTTGTATAGGAAAGTTAGTCAACAGTTAGGACCTCAAACTAATTTTATTGAATGGAATAAAGAATGTAAAACTTTATAACATTAATGGGTATGTGTTTTTTTTTTCAAATTTTGGTTAACATGAAACAAGGAAGGAAAAGAGTTTGTGTTCTGATAAAAAAAAAAAAGGAAATTAATGAAAGAAAACTACTATAGAACAACAAAACACTGTATCCAAGATACAAAATTACAATTTTGCTTTAGAAATGATGATAGAAATGTGTAACATTCTGTTATCCTCACATTATTACAATCTTAACAGCATAGAGTATGTACACAAATAGACATCGAGACACATGGTAATGTAACATCACTTTGTATAATCTATATACAGCAAAGTCTGCCTCCAATAGTTGGGATTAAGATGGGCACAGCAAAGAAAAAAATGATGCAGCACAGATTCAAATATAAAGGAGGTAATGTGAATGCTGCTAATTTAGCTCTAATTTGGTAACTGTATTCACAGTTTTACAACAGAAAATGTGACTATTTTTGCATTTGCATTGTTTAACAAAACAAGGAAATGCTTCACAATCAATTATGTTTTCAACCTTTTATCACCATCTTGGACCAAGCCAAAAGAGTAATGTAATATTTGTGTTGTCTTCACTTTATTGCTCATTATTGCATGGAACCTGGACTGCACCACATTGTACAGGTGTTCTTGTTATTGTGTCACCCTTCGTATTATTATCAGTGAATGTAAAAAAAAAAAGATCACATTCATAGTCATTCAGCATAAAGTTATTATAGTTTCCCATGTTCAATGATTGTCTTAGTAAAACAAAACAAAACAAAAAAGACAGTCCAGTGATAAACACAAATAAAAACTGATGTGCAATTACATTTTGGTACATAACACACAGTTCAAGGCAGAGATACTTTTAGACTATTACTAAAACCCATTATTTTTTATATCGTAGTATAAAGTATTAAATCTACAATCAAATTTTTGAATAAACTGTCCAACAAACATGGTGAAACAAATGTAACTAAAATGTACGGTTTGAAAACAAAGACTGAACTGGTTACAATTCTTTAACACATTATTTACGGTCATGAACTTTCTTGTGCATAAATTTGAGGATGAAATTTGCAGTTTGTAAGTCTCGGATGATTCAAGATAGATGATAGATGATCCAGTTTGAAGCTCTTCAAGCCTCTCTGTACTGTAAGACTGGGGGGATCATATGACAAAATCAGTGGAACGGTTGAACCTATTTCATGGTTCTTTTAAACTTTCAGATAGGTAAATAAATAATAATTCTCTTTCTCTGATATAAATCATTATCAGAATTAGAATTGGCTTCAGTGCTCTAAATATTTGCAGTGAGTAGGTTTACCTACTCCCTAATCTGGTTGAACAAATATGTGCCAGCAGCCATTACTGCATTCACATTGTCAGAACAGCCGGTACTACATCCCAATGTAGTGTGACATCCCATCCACACGGAGGCAGTACAGTATCACACATAATCAAAGAATGAGACCCGAATCAGGAGAGGTCACTGGAGAAACTCTGGCCTCCGTGCAGCCACGTCCACTCCCTCAACATCTAGGACGAAAACAGAAGGGCGATGAGTTTCATAGTTTAATAGTTTAATTCCACGTAATTCGGAGAAATCCGATAAAAGCTTGTGCATACCTCCATACTGTTTTCTGATTCCTGGATGGTGTCATGCAGCAAACTCTGGAGTCGACTCTCAAACGTCCTGCTCTGCTCCACGAGAGACTCATCACTGCAGACACACCCAATGTTTGATTCATGACTCACGAAGATGTCACTCGGATAATAGTTTATCTGTGTTTGTACAGGACGTGTATTTGTGCCTTCCCAAATGTTCAGGTGATGATACGCGTCTTTGAATGAAAATAGACAGAGCTGGAGAGTGTGTGAAAGCAAAATTACAAGTTGTGAGTTTGCAGGAGATCATCAGGACACAAAGAAAACTCCCACGACTTTGACTTGCCACATTGGCAGATGTGTTTAAAACCCAAAAATGTATTGAATTCAAGAATATTCTCATAAGATGTGTCTTTGTGCGCCAATATATGTGTGGCTGAGTGAATAAGTCAAATTTATTTTCTGTAGATCTTAATAACATCTGCAAAAGATGAGTCTTAGACCACGAATGGAAAACATCCTTTAAACCACAGTGTGTGTGGTATGTGTGTGTGTGTGTGTGTATGTGTGTGTCAGTGCACTTACAGCTGCTGTAGGCTTTGTTTGGGGGTCAGAAGAGGTGGCACTGACGAGGGGGTGCGTAATCCATCAGGGCTCCCACTCACCGGGCTGCGAACTTTACTCTACATAAGACAAGATGATGCACTTTATTCTGTGTTTGTGATGACGATGAAACATATTCTTATGGTTTCAGTAGAGCCAATATTCAAAATGGATCAATAATGACAGCAAACTAAAAACATACTGTTAGTGGTCCTCGAGAATTAGATAAATCCAGTGAAACTCATCAACATGTGCATACCTGCTGGTATTCAATGATTATTATATGAGGCTTTACGTTATATAAACAGGTATCCCTTAAAGAAGAGCAGAGATGGGAGAGTGTGTGTGTGTGTGTGTGTGTGTGTGTGTGTGTGTGTGTGTGTGTGAGAGCAGCGTCCTCACACAGGCGACTTTGAGCAGGTTCCACAGCTCCCTCTGTCGTTTCTCCTGCAGACTCATCAGGACTTGTTCGCTCTCTGCCATCTTCTGGACCACGCCCTCCACCTTCGGCAGCAGCTCCATCACGCGCTGACGGCACACCGCCGTCTTACTGCATAACACACGCAAGAGTAGTGGCTCAGTACGGAAGAAGAAATGAACCGTTTTGTGCCGTGACTGTATTTACATACATATGTTAAATGCATCAGCCATGAATTATTATTGATAACTAATAAGCTGCTTTGATACTTAAATAAAAAAACATTTTTGGGTTGCCATGTTGTGAACAGACTCCTCCCATTGATTATTGATCATTTATGACAAACATATCTACTATTTTTTATAACTTTATAATAAGCAATCAAACATCAAGTTATAAATGTCAGTATGCCCCTTAATTAAGTATTAAAAACTTGTCACCTTTTACACCTAGTCATCACATTACAGTTGTAAATGTTAACAAGTCACCGGCACAAATGTTTTCACTTATCCTGCCTGATTAGAGCTCTTCTCAGGACTGTGTGGGCGTCTACATACCAGACAGACTGACAAATACTTCCCTCTCCTGATTGTCTGCAATCTTACTATTCACACCTGCGCTCTGCCTGCTGTGATGTGCCAAAATGCACGTTGTGAAAAAGTCCACTTATGATTACAATTCCTTTTATTTTATTTTTTTTGTGACCTTACTTATTTCTAAACAAAACTCCAGACACTAACTCAAAGTGTTTGAGGTTCAGAGCCAAATAACTAATCTTAACTGCCCATTATAGTGTCCTCTCATATAATCTGTATGGAAAAAATACATATTGTATTAATAAATTCATTAGCACTAAACTTGTAAAGCTCTGATACAGGAAGTATGCCTATAAATTGGCCCCCAACTATGCTCTACAAAACCACAGTGAGGATCATAAATGTAAGTGTGTCTGACAACAACGTGTTTCATTTTTATTTAGATACATGAATTCTCAAATGGGAGTTAACGCACTGCAACAACAGAGCTGCTCGGTACTCATTCAGTTCCCCAACCCACATTTTTCCAACACAATGACCATACTGGTTATGCTTCAAAAGGTGTGCTTGGTCTTGATGACTGGGGAACAGCACTGTTTAGTGTGACCTTAGTGTTTTGTGCATGAGTACCTGAGGTGTGTGTAGAAGTCTCTGAGCTTCTTCTCATAGAACTGCACAGCCTGAAGTACCAGACGCACCACCTCCTGACTGTCCCCTGAGCACCTCTGGTCTGAGCAGGGCGAGGGAAAGGGAAAGCCAGAGGAGACGTAAAATGGAGGTTTATTTTAACATGGAAGCACTGGAACGAGTGTTAAGTAAGAAGTGAACAGATGCGTGAAAAATCCAAACCTCTGGGTTTCTCCCTGAGTTTACGGAACAGCTCCATGGCCCTTCCTTCCCTGGAGACCAAAGAGGGAAAAGAAAGCATGTACCAAGATAAACAAAGCAGCTGCTTTTGTTGTTTTTTATTGGGTTTTTTTTTACAGTTCAGTTCGGTTCAGACTTACAGTGTGTCCAGGGCCTCTCCACTCCTCCACGGCTGCCTCTGCACATCCACTATGTCTGGCTGCAGCTGCATCATCTCTTCTTCCAGTTCACTCACCTTGGCCTGGGTACCCAAACATGTGGGTTTTAGTCTTTTTAAAGGACAAGTGACACACACACGCAGAAACACACTCAACTCTACCTGACCACAGCTGACAGCAGTTTGCTCCATCTCCCTCCACACGCAGAGGAGTTTCTCTGACGCTAGAAAATGTAAAAAGACTATTATTAGTCAGAGGAAAACTGAATTGTTCTGACATTCATGTGCTCTTTCTGCCTGGGGCTAAAAGCAAGAAACAACTCAATAGAGCAACAAATAATTCAGAAGGACAGAAAAAACGCAGTTTTAGCAATCGTAATGTAATTTCCCCACTATCCAACCAACACGTTTTTGTAACATAATACCAATCCCGGTGGCTGTCTGTTCCTGGTATTTGTCCATGTCTATGTGAAGGCTGGTGGTGAAGAAGTCCAGCTTGGCCGTGAGTCTCTGGTGCATGGACACCATCTCATTCTTCTGTTTGGACAGCGAGGAGTTGTGTCTCAGCAGGCTCATGCTGGAGGAAAGAAGAGGAAAAGAAACGTGTTTGTTTTATCAAACAGGTAATACATGTGTGTGTTGTGTGTGGGAGGTTGTTTGTGTATTTGTGTGTGTCCTACATGGCAGCTTTCTGCCCCTGCTGCAGCCTTTGCCAGTCTTCCTTCAGGGAGCGGATGGTGTGCCACGCCTGGCCGCAGGTCCTCCTCAGAGGGCTGTAAGCCAGAAGGTGCTTGGGGTCAGTCTCTATGAGAAAGACAGAGACAAAGAAACACACACACACACACACACACACACAAAACACACAAGTCAGAAAAAGCAATGGATGTTGTAGTCATATATTATTCAACTGAGTACAGTTTGTAGTCAGTTCAGGCAGATAATAAGGTTCATGGTTCATACTAAAATATATTTTTCTACAGTGTAAGTCACAACTGTAAATCATCTTAACCAAGAATTTGGTTGTACAGTGTTAATTTTCTCTTCATATTAGTAGTGTGTGTGTGTGTGTGTGTGTGTGTGTGTGTGTGTGTGTGTGTGTGTGTGTGTGTGTGTGTGTGTGTGGTTTAAATATGGTTCAAAAATTTTGTTCAGTTATTTAATTTATCAAAAAGCCTAATGCAAAACTTCCACTGGAAATCCACTACAGGAACCCTGAAAGAACATATATCTCAAATAATTGCTTGATTATTATTTAACAGTTTTGTGTGTTTACACACTAAAGCATATTCAACTGAACTGACTGACATTGGCATAAAAATAAAAAACAGAACACCACAAAATAAATATTGCAGGCATTGCACTTTTTTAATATGCTTAGTTGAGAAAAAACAAACTTACGCACGAAGCGGATGTTTTCAGGGAGCGTGCGAGGAGCAAACTGGGGCTCATAACTGCAAGAGGAGCGATCAAACAGGAAGACCAGAGGCAAGTCTGTCCGTCGACCATCTATTTCCTACAGACACAGATTATAATAATACTATGACTCAGGTCCATTAGCACATTGTGTTGCTGAATAATCTGTGAAGGCAGGGTGTGTACGGTGTTTATGTTAGATATTACTGTGTAATCTATGGCACACTGCGTGGCCAGTCCGTTAGGCTCCAAGGCTAATCCCGCCTCCAGCAGCAGCTCCTGATTGGCTGCAGGGATGTCGGTGTCTTTTTCTATTCTCAGCTGCAGGTCGGCCACGGTCTCATCGTCCGAGACTGAGTACGTCAGGATCTTAGCAGACATCATGTTTAGGACGTGAACCAGCTGAGGGGAACGAGAAGGACCAAGCACATGAAGACGGAACAAGTCAATGTGTTGGTCTAAGGAATCAAAAAACAGCTACAAAATCCCTTCGAATCCCACCAAACTTTAGGAATTAGAAACTGCGCCTTTAATTACAGTACAGCCATCAGTCTGTGAGGTAATTTGCTTAATGCTGGACCACAGATTCAAACGAATGTGTCAACATCAGACCAGTGATGTCTGAGTAATATTCAACAGTAGAACAAAAACGGGGGATGACATAGTAAAAGAATAAATGAATGAATTACTCAATCAACCTTGAGCTGTAGTATGATCTCCAGCTGGGAGAAGCAGTTGCTGGGAGTAGCATCGTGGTCTTTGCCTCTCTCCTGAGGAGACCACTTCAACATCAGCTGCAGCCACCTCTCCATTTTCTCTAATAACAGACTGTGAAACCACAGTTAGCATGTTACACCGAGATAATAAGGGTCTTTAAAGTAGCATTTTTATGTGTATGTGTGTGTAAATGTAAAAACACCTGTTGAGGTTGTTGGGCTGGGGCACGTGCTTGGAGAAGCGGACTTCCCCAGAGAGGTCCTCATAGACGACAATGTCATCGTCCTGCTTCAGCCTCAGTTTATTGTGCCTAAAAAGTAAACAGATGGATTATATGAGAGAGAGAAGCTCTAAACATTTTGGATCAGAATTGTTTATCTTTGTTTCGTGAGGGTATAAATGTTTGTCCCCAATTTTATCCCCAGTGTGACGACTGTAAATTCCAATCTGCAAATGATACATGCAGTAATGGAGGAGTATTTTTTTTTCTCTGTGTAACCCAGATGTCACAGTTCTGCATCTCAGGTCACCTGCCTCATTTCAACACTCCCTGTCATCCAGCCAGTAAGTTTCCTTTCACCTTGTTCCCCTTCACCTCCCTGCATTAGCCACGCCCACCTCATCAAGCCAACTCCGTTCACCTGGCCACACAGCTGCCCCTGATTACACTCACCCAGGACACATACCCCAGCCTTTTTTTTTTTGGATTTACCTGTCAGCTCCAGCTTCTGCTTTGGTTAAAATTAGGGTCATTACAAACTGCTTTTGTTGAACTGTGTGCTGCGTTTGGGTCCTACACACGCCTGTTACACCCAACCCCTGTTTCATATCTTTCTTTTATCATATTGGCGACAAGGGGCATTGAAGTTGGCACAACCCACATATCCTGCAATTCTTTGCTTTGTTTATTTATACATTCAGTGTGTGTTTGAAATCCAGTCACGTAACAATAATCAGTTGGAATAAAGCTTATCATTGCTTAACATCAAAAATATCATTGTTCAGTATATATTTGTAAAAGCTAGGATGTAGTCACAAAGATAGGGAGTGAGGGAGTGTAAAAATAAAAAATAAAAAAATTTGAGAAGAGTCATGGTGGAAAATTTTGAAATATATCATCCTCCCTAGTTTTGGGGAAACATGACTTCAATTGCTTACTGAAGACTTCTTGAAAATTTTGAAAGGTGGTACTACCAGGGAACTGGCTGCCAGGTCGGTAAGAAAGGGCGAAATCCTGTGATACACTCAAACACCAAAGTCCCGAAGCTCCAGTAGTCCACAGTGACCGTGTACTTCTGCCTCTCAATCAGCTCTGGAGCCTGAGAAGATGGAAGGAGAGAAAAAAAAAAAAAAAAACAGGTTAAAGCTTTTACTGTCTATAACACAGTGAGGAAATTATGTGTAAAACATGTCCACCTGTGTTTCATCACTTACTAAGTACTGCAGTGTTCCCACAAATGATGTGCAAAGGCTGCTCTGGTCCAACTCTTTAGCGTAGCCGAGATCTATAATCTTGTGGATCAACTAAGATTAGGGAGGAGAGAGCAAAGAAAAAGCTATTAACAAAAGTTTTATGTTGTTTATATTGGCTTTACTGTTTCTCTAGTATGAAAGACAAAAACAAGTTTTCATGCAAAACTATAAACTTAGTGCAGATAAAGTTTGTTTTGTTAAGATGCCATAAACACAGCAGTGTGCATAAACATCTTTAATACGTCTAGCCTCAGTTATAAAGCAATTTTTCATTTCCCTGGTTCCTATTGCAGGATGTTGTTATATAACTAAACAAAAGGGGGCCCACAGAGGAAGGTAAGAGCAAGACAACCCCGAAAGTTCCACGTAACCGCTAAGGATAAGTTAAAGGATTTAGTTTTCCACATTAAATATTCAGTGCAGCGACTGGTGAGTGTAAACGTCGACGTGAGAGAGACGAGTCTCCTGCACTTATTCCACATAACCCACATAGAGGCAAAAAGCCTTTATACAACTTCTTTGTTGTGGCTTGGGTGTATTTGTCATAACAAGAGGGTTCACGGGGTCTTTAACTCACTCTCTTCTCTCCCTGCTGCAGCACAATGTTTTCTGGCTTCAGATCTCTGTGGATGATCCTCTTCTTATGGAGGTAGGTCAGAGCCGAGGCTGTGGAAGAAAATACGAATGCACAGTTTGTGTTGCATGCATTGCAAATGATTTGATGAAATGCAGCATATTTAGAGGAACATTTAAAAGCGTAAGTCTGAATTTACCTTTATAAACTTGGCTAAGATTCTCATATGAAAGAGGTTAATGCTGCACATAAACTAGAGCCAGACTGAAAAATTGGCCAGGCGGATGTATGGACCAATATTAGCTTATTGCAGATAGATATTAATGTGTATACAAATGACATATACATACAGGAAAAGATTTGTCCAGCAGGGAGGACCTACAAGTGTAAAATGTCTACACACACACACACACACACACACACACACTTTTTAATTTTCAAACTTAGGTTTCAGCCTGAGCCGACACTGACTCAAGTCTCGTCACTTGAGACAAGTCACTGCCCTCTCTGGTCGAAAGTTTCACCTCTGATCACACCCAGCATCACCAAAGGATGTGGTCAGAAGTGTGCTCTGTTGCATCACACCTCACAGTGATGTCACTTACAGTAGTCACGCCCTAGAGTACACTTTTACCTCACTGCAGCGAGATGTTCAGAGGTTGTTAATTTACTCTTTAAAAAGCAACTGAACAGTCACTGAGAATCTTATGTTTGCTGACCTCCGGTGGTCTAACTCCTCACCTCACTGCAGTGATGTAAAGATGTACTCTGGGAGCCTGTGACATCACTGCTGGGCGTGGTTACAGGTGCAATAGGTGCAACACAGAAGGATGCGTAAGACAGTGAAACAGGCTTGAAAGAGAAATTTTAATCAGAGAGGACTATAAAACACAAGCTTTTCAGCCTGGTGTTAAGTGGCTCTTTAATGAGTCTCATAAGAGGATAAGACTCGTATCGACACATGTAAGCCTTTAATCTGCTGTAACTGAAGTTAAAGTACAATAATGCTGCCTCACTTGCGTCAGAGGGTGACTAGTGTGTGTGCTGGCAATGAGAGTTCAATGTAGCGGAACTTATAACCTTCTGGCCCCTAAAATGCATGTGTGTTTGTGTAGGTGTGTGTATGAGTGTGTGAGTGAGAGGGTGCGTTGGTGGGTGTGGACGCACATGCCTGTGTCTTTTTCCTCAATCGTGAAACAGTTTAAAGGGGATCACTCATTATCAGGAAACGTCCACCAGTGGGTAACAGGAAAAAGGAGTCTCTGTGTGGTGTGTGTGTGCGTGTGTGTGTGTGTGTGTGTGTGTGTGTGTGTGTGTGTGTGTGTGCGCGCGCTTGTGTGTCTTACTCTACGCTCCACTCTAGATGTGTGATCCATACCATATGTCTCCTCTCATGCTGTTTATACAGCATGTAATACACACTGTGTTGCTGATGTGAGCGTTCGTACATTGTGTTTGTGAAAAACAACGACAGAGTCCGATTGTTGACGTAAGCCCGTCTGCGTGTGGGTAGCCCCCAGGGTGACTAAGAGGTTGGTGGTTAATGGTCATTGGTGACATCACGATACTGGTCACCATGACGACTTACTCCATACTACAGGAAACTAATCACCCTGCCAGATCACGAGATCAATCGCTCCCTTTCACATACGCACAATTAAAGATTTCATAATAGTGACGTTGAAGCTGAGGATTGAACAGGATACTTACAAATGTCCCGTAACAGAATCAAAACAGAGCCCTCCCTCATTCCACAGCAGTTCTCCAGAAGGTTCAGATACTGCACAGAGCACAAACACAGACATTTGATACTTGAATAGCATGACCCATGGGAAGAAAACAATACAGGGAGACTCAGGCTTAGCAAAGGGTTCATCAATCTTCTTTATTCATGTTTTAAAACGTCCTGCTCTTTTATTCTATAAAAAGCTATTTTCTGTGTTTCTAAGAGATCTGACATACATCAGAGGACATGAACGGGCTCAGATTCAAGCAGAAAACAAACCACATCTTTTTTGTTTTGTTTGCATTGTTTGCTGATTTTCAGCAGCATTGCTGGTAGTGAATTGGAAAATCAAAGCTTTTGTTGTAACACTTTACTTTAAAAAGAAATATATTTTCAAATCGTTCCACGGCTGGAAACTTGTGGCAGGCCTGACAAAAGAGGATGGTGCTGTTTTCCACTCTCTGTCCCCATTAACCGCTCCATCTGCCCCCAACTCGACGGCTTAGTTTTTGACCATCTGGGATGCTTTGAAATTTTTATGACACTGTGGTTTTGTGATGGTTGGCATTCTCCTCTTCTGCTGGCTGCCTGGTGCCAACATCGCCTCAGGCTGCGCACTCGGTTGGTTTCGGATTAAAAACTGCGCCAGATTTCTCCCCCAGAATGCACTGCAAGCAAATGCCTGAGTACCTTAAACTCAGTGAAATACAAAATGATTTGGATTTTTTTCCTTCACAGGAACTTGATGATTTTTTTTAAAGAATATTTTGCTGGAGGACCTGAGTGATTTCTGACCCTGATACACGCAAGAAAAGCTGTGAAGGTTTACAAAGACAAAAATATCTTCAGGCCTGGTGCTGAAAGAGCCGGGGAAAGTGGTACAAAAAGAAATATCGATACACATGCCTACTCCTCCTTATTAATTTATTGTGATTTAATACTTTAACCCACTGGTCTTTCAGCTTTAATCTTGTATCCTTAACCACATACAGTATGTGCGCACACTCCCCCAGACACATCACAGACTCCTACCTTTCTTAGATCTCCTCCCTGGCAATACTCCATGGCCAGCAGTGGCAGGTCATTGGTGGCCACCATTTTCTGCATTCCTTCAGGAACCTCTCTGGCTGCAACGACGTTAACATGATCCAACCTGAGTGAATAAAGACGAGCAGACATCAGTCAGTGGGGCTGCACTGTGAATCACACTTTTATCTGTACTTTGAATGCACACAATAAACACGTTGCCAAAAGCTGCCATATTAGATGCCTAAGATTTATATGTGTGCACATAAATTTCATATAATTTGATGATAAAAGAGAATCTGTGAAAAATGTACAGATCTAGATCTAGACCCATGTTTTCCAACCCTTTTGGTTTTGTAACCCATTAACATGAAACACTGTCTACTTGCCACCCTGCTTGTATATGTAAATAAGTTAAGAGCGCTTCCCCCTGTAAGCAAATTTTTTCTTTAACAGGTTTTAGAAGCCTAAAGAGGTAAAAGTATCCAACAATTCACAAGAAAAAAAAAGCAAAAATTAGAGAAAATAAAAAAAAAAAAAAAGGTAAGATTTTGTGCGGCAAAAAAAATATATTTTTTGTTTTTCTATTCCCCTGCGCTTCTCGTGACCCCTCAGATTTATTTTGCGATCACCAAGTTGGGAGCTACTGATCTTGACCAACTTTTATAAAGCAACACAATCTCAATCTCAAGTCAATTTTCATAGTGTGCACCTACATTACGTACAATCAGACATGTACACTTCTAATTTTGTTTTCTTGCATCATCGCAGCGTCCAACAAATATACCTTAAATACATGCAAACCTGTTCATTAGCTAATTAATAATCTTTAAAACTGATTATATCACCCTCCCCCAACACCTCTTGGACCAGCTGTATTACTTTTCCTGTTTCCCATTCTTCGACATCTCGTAACTCTGACTGAAACAATGTGTTTCTGATTACCACAGGGTCATGGCTTTGTTAAAAAAGCAATGGAGCAATTCAAAGATAACAATCTCAAAGTGATACCAGAGCCAGCAAGAATTTGATACAAACTGAAACTACAAGACTGTAGCGCATGTAATCGGTGCGTTGTAACAGCTACAGTAACAGGAGAGAGGATACTTCATAGAACAGTGGAGTCATTATTATTCATTAACATGTTTTTTCCCCTGCAGATCTACAGTGTTGGTAACATAAGAGGAGAAAACACTGCAAACATAAACATGTTTAGAAGTAGTGTAGTCATATTGTGTTACTATAGACCCTCTCCGACACAGCGCTACATATATGATCTGATGTGGAAACTATTTCTCTCATCTTTTGTTCTGCCTCTCTTGACTGTAATTGAAAACATTTTGGAGAGTGGATGGAATCACAGTTAGAGTGGGATGAAATAGTGAACCTGCATGAGATTGTGGAATGAATAAAATTTTTATTTTTTTTTTCCTTGGTTTTGAATTAAAAATTCAGCAGATGCGAAATGAATGCAATACAAGCTCTTTAAACACATCATAACTCAAAAACATTGTGAAAGTGTTGTGTTTTTCAGTATATGTGCATGTTTAAATCTGTGTTAAGTAGCTGTAATAACATAATGGTAGGTTGCCATGTATGTGTCCCCTGCCCTGTGGTTTCTCCACGAGTCGAGCGTGGGTGCATGGGAGGGCTGTGGTTGTGTCTGTCTGAAAACAACACACTTGTTAAATTGGGACTAGGAAAGAAAAGTGGTTTAATACTCATGTTTGCACCAGCAAATGACAAAACTAACACACACACGCACGCATGCACGCACACACGCACACACACATATACACACCGCATCTCACAGACAAACAAAACTAGGACAAGCTACCATCCATCTCCAGTGACCCGACACCAAAACTGAAACTGTTAATTGACAACGCAGACGTGTGTGGAAATGAAACACAAACCAAACCTGAGCAAAACGAGGAGGTGGCACTTTACCCCGTCAGAAATAACCACCAAAAGACCAAAATAACCCAAACTTTGTTGTTGTTCTAATTATTTCATGTCTCGTGTGATTTTTACTATTTCAGGATAGAAATTTAGTTTTCGTATTTTGAGAAAATTTGCGAAACAGATGGGTACATAAAAGTCAAATGTCAAACTCATTAGCACCAAGTTTGTCATGGAATATACCAGGGTGAGTCACAACAAGTCAAACCAAAACTTCTCTCTCATGCCAGAACGGGCTTTAGGGCAAGGTATGAAAGAGTTTGGATGGTAAAGAGAAACGGGGAAATCACCGATTTCTTCAGCCAAGTAAAAAAAAAAAAAACTTGTCACACACTGAGATGCATCACTGTGGAAAAAGAGACTCGGGAATCTTTTGTAAACAGCGGGACGAGTTTAGGTAATATGTCATGGACAAACTAAAAGCTAACAAAACAGTTAGGAAATCTGGTCTTTTCTTTTACTCCCTGTGTGTTACAGAACGAAACCGCAGGTCCTGCTTCATGACCTGATCCCGAGACCATAACCGTTGCTTGTATGGTTCATAATCCCACATAAATTCTGTTTATAGCATAGGAACACTGATTGTTGCAAGTCATCCGCCCTCTCTCCTCATCTTCACTGTCTACTGCCTAAGAAAAGGGAACATGGCACAAGCTGCCATGTGTCTGCTGTGTGTCCTGTACAAGACTGGTATTTGAAGGTGACAGAGGAAGGAGCGGTGGGGCCAAGGGGGGACTACTACGTTTTTGCTCTGGGACCATTTGGTAGGTCGATGCACGTGAGAGTGAAACTGACCTCTTCATGATCTGGATCTCCAGACACCATCTCTCTTTGTTTCTGTCACTCAGCTCCTGACGGCACTGCTTTATAGCGACCTGCTCCTCTGTGTCCTGAAAACAAACACACACACACACACACACACACACACACACACACACACACACACACACACACACACAAAACAATATATAGTTGATTTACCGCAATGCCAGTTCAAGAATAATCAGTAAATGTTCACATTCGAGAAGCTGGGGTCTGTGGGTGTTTGCCAGTTTTGCTTGGCAATTTACTTAAAGTATTATTTAGTTATTAAATAAGTAACAAATTAATTATATGTCAATCGAGTAGTCAGTTAATCAACTAATCATTGAAACTCTATTGATATTATTTTCAATCATATAACAGAAGCAGATGCCACATAGCAGGGGAAATGTTTAAACAATGTTTTTAACAGATTTAATACAACGTAAATGATATACTTAGAGAACAAACCAAGACACAAATACGTATCATGCATGGTGACACCTTTACCTGCAGAGCAAACTGCACATTTAACCGTTTGCCAAAATCGATGAGCAACACAAGTACATCTCACTACCTGTTTCTCATGACATCATCAAGGAAAAGGCAGACACACAGCTTCCTATAATGTGATATGTCAACCAATAATAGCCCACATTATTGTCATTAATACAGAAAGACGGGAAACTTCCTATACAGGAAGCTTAATCATCGGGGCGGCAGCAGTGCCAGCGGTGCCCTCTTCAGTTAGGTCATTTTCCTCCTGTGTTTTTCCCGCTGACTCCTACAGCCCAGTCTGCAGTGGCGCTGATGATTACTTCCTTGCTTACTGCAAATAGCAGTAGAATTATCACAGTGTAAACAAACTATAATGTAGTGACACACACTGTCAGTGTAAAACCTCAAAAAAGATTTCAGAAGGACAAATTTTCATTCCGCAAAACAATTACGGCTATCAAGGCGGAAGTCAGCAGACATTGTGTTTATGTAAACAAAGTGGCTATGTAAAAATGTCTTCTATTTGAAAGTGCAAGTGAAAAGATTTTCTGGGGGATCATATTCACTACAGTTTCTGACTTTCCATCACTTGTGCTGTATATTTAAATTCACACGATGATGCTGCCTGGTTCAATGAAAGCTCCGAGTTTGCCTTGAGCGTGAGTATGAGTAACACCACTGCAGCTGATACTGAAGGGAGGAAGAGGAAGGTCCACTAAGCGGGCGTGTTCATATTCCCATAGTGTCCTCACTCTCATCCTGTGACTTACAGTGAAATCATAACAATAGACACACTTTTGGCTGGACCGGGTGCAGAAAGAAAACAGCTTCCTGCAATGATGTCATGCTATTTTCAAAAAAAGGTGCTGGTGAAAACCCATTCACAAATTTTGAGCAAAATTCTCTTTTAGGGCACTGTGTTTTTTATTGTATTTGTAAACTGTTGTTACGTCCTTTTGTTTATGTGTGTGACCGTTTTTGATTCAGATCAGAAATTTTCAATTTAATCCATTTCTATCATGTCAACACCAATATCATCGGCAAAAAGACAAACAAAAAACTATATGAAACCAATAAAACACTGAGTTTCACATGGAAAATCGGATGTTTTGTAAGAATTTTTGAACACACACTTGTCCAAGAAACAAGTAAACAGTGATGTGTTCCTTGTGTGCAATGAGGGTCGTTTTTCCTGCAACCTGAAGAGGGCACTTTAAAGTTCCTAATTTATTTGTAAATAGGGCAAGAGAATATTTTATTTATATATATTTATTTATATATTTATAATATATATTGTATTTGCTTCTATTAGTGTTATATATTGGTTTACTTGACAAAATTGACATTTTTTAGGAGCTTTCATTTTGAGGGAAGTGTTAATTGCACTGTTTATGATGTAGCTGATGTCTTCTGGGAAATGCTGGCAGAGCTACTTTAGTTATCTTCCATCAGAGCACTTCAAATGGTTTAACATTTTTAGTCAGTCTAACAGCTTGCTATTTAAACATCCTCTTTTAGGAGGAATTTCCAGTCATTCAGTTTACTATCACATCCCATCACAGTTAGAAGTATGTGGATTATGTACCTTATTTTGCCATCTTGTGACATTCCCGAAGCCTCCGGTCCCCAGGCGCTCCTTCAGCTCCCAGGACCCGCAGCTCTGTGGCTGCTGCAGGGGGACTCGATTCATGGCCTCCTCAGCTGTTCCTACACCAGATACAGTAAATAACAAGGATATATTTAAGCATACAGTCATATTAGTGGCTCTGAGAGGCTCACATCAGCAAACAAGAATATAGTGGATTGATAAAAAAACGGGGAAGCAGCTTAGTCATTCGTAGATCATTACCACTACTAGGACAAAAATGTTAAGATTTGTCACCAGAAAAAAATGCCTTGTTGTGATGCAAAACAAGAGAGTCAATGGTCTGTGAAATATCTCAGCTGGCCGGGCTCAGCTCTACATCAACATTTGCCCTAATTTTCATCAGTCTAAGATGTACTTTTTCATCTTCAGGTGTACCAAGGCTCTATTGGTCTTTCAGCATGTTGGCATGCTAACATTACCATGCAAACAAGTAGATAAAAATGTGTATGATAATGCGCCCGTGTAATCAAGTAATCATTTAAGACAGAACATTCTCGGTTTAAAGCTTCTACATTTTCAATTAACTGATCATTAAACAAATTATTACAAATAAATTAACCGATTGGGTAAATAATCATTAGTTGAAGTACTGCTGAAATCCCAAAGGTTCATCCTGTGGAATCTCTCTGGTACATTTTAATCTGACCTGCCCTTTGCTTGTTCAGCGATTTCACTCCAGACCAAAGTTTTTAACCAGACACATTGACAGACTTCAGTTTCAGGATCCAGGTATTGTACAGACAGGCTTCCGGTCATTTCACTGACAAGGTTATTATTTTTTTAACAGTGAAATGTCTTGGTAATAGTTCTTATTATGGGATCCATATACATAGATGCATTGATATTTCCACATTTATACTTTTACAACATATTTGTGTGAGTGTGAAATAATCTGAGTATGTCAGGTGTTATGTACATCATATATCATGGAGCTAAATCAGATTTTTAGTTCTTGTGGGCACTGTACATTGTTGCTACTGCTGGAGCTGTCTGTATGTGGTGAAAAGCATTATAAAAATATTGATTAAAAATTGGATCAAAAAATGTTATGTGTAACAGCTGCAACAATATCTATTCTGACTGTGTATAAACACTGGCTTAATTTTACACAAATTGTAATTACACAGACCAAATAATCTATAGAAAAATGGGTAAATCGTTCCCTGTATATATGTGTATATTACGAATGGCTCTATAGTTGTAGTCAGTATCCTTCATGCTGTTATCAGGCCTATTCAACACTGCAGTGACAGCATGCATCAATGAGGCAGCTTCCGTTTTTATCTTCATGCTTTATACGGTGAGTATTGCTCTCACCTCTCTGCTCATAACAATATTATGCATACAAGTAGTAAAAATGACTCCGTCTCTGTTAATGTTTCACGTTTTCTGAAGTTTAACGCGCTTGTTCTCGGCTTTTATTTCAATGCAGAGAAGCGCTTCATCTGAAGTACCATTTCAACTGAATCCTACCTTAGACTTCGTAGGCAGCGTTCACACGCTTTCACACCTGATTGTCTTTGAACACGTGCGTATCCGGTCTTTAACTTAGACTAGACTTAAACTTTGAACCGCTTTGAACACTACTATTATCAATAGTATATTTTGACGATACAAACAAATCTTACAAACTTTTCACTTCCTGATAGTCGTATTTCCTGTAAACCTGCTGAGACCCGCCCACAGGAGGCAGACTCCCCGGCTCACATCAGGCTGGTAGGTCAATGCAGAAATTAAAGAAAAAACTCATAGTTTCAGACCATGAATCATTGTTCCTGATTGTTTTATGGACAACCTGAGTCCCTAAATCCAACTCTGAAACTTCAAGCAAGAACCAACAATTTGTTTTTCCCTCCCTAAATGCTTCCCTACCCTGTCTGTGCCCATTGTCTCATACACTAAAATTCTTTAAACAACAGGTTACAAACATATTTTTTATTTTTATGAAGTGATAAATAATTATCTTAAATAGCTGGGCACTGAAGTTTTTGTTTTTAGCAATCACAGGAGTAAACATTTACTGAAAAACTCATTTCAGTATATAACATTCATTGCAGTGTTATTATTGATCCAGCGGATGTTGTATTTGGGGAGGATACACTTGAATTCCAGAGAATAACCGTGATGTTCTTCATTTCATCATCTGCTTTTCTTGAATGAGATAAAAACAGATAAGTTGCTCTCATGCAACAACACACATTTCTATTGGTTAATGCACATGTGACGTTTGCTGACGTGGTGTTTGGGTGTGTAAAACCAACTTTATCAGATTGGAAATGTTTGTAGGGAGAAGGAAAAGCTTTCCTGTTTATACTAACAAATATGGTGCTGCTTCCTAAGCTTTTCCTACGAGGATAGTGGACAACAGAGAGAGGGCTTCATGGAAGTCAAGAGCAAATGGAACTCATAATGAAAGACCTTTGTTGTCGTATTTAGCTTTGTTTAGTCATGTAAACCTAACCTGTGGAAATGGCTTAAATATTGTCCTCGATTACATATTATCACACTAGTGTTTATTTTGCACTACATTCATCTGTTTCATTATAGCTTTTTATTCTGACACCAGCAGGTGGTTTCAGTCTAACGTGCTGTTGCTAGTAGAATAGCTGACAGTTAGCCTACTCATTAAATTGCACAGGAGTTTTTATTTCCAAGTAATATCTTTTACTCCCCCAGTTCCCTTGATCATTATCTGTTTGCAAACTGCAACCTGTTCATTAAGTTTTCTTGCCAACTGCCAACTAAGCTAGTCATTACATTAGCTGTTTGAAGCTAGTGTTGCTAATACAGCATTCTGTAACTGCTAATGCTACATTCACCTAATGTTGGCATAATAAAAAAACACACATTATTTTGACTTTGCAGTGTTCATGCATTATTCCAAGGTGGTTAGCCCTATGATCTTGTAGTCACACCAGATGAATAGCTTATATTATCTTATTTTGTAGCAATTCGTTAACCAAGTGAAACCAGATACAAAAAAACAGTGCATAGCTCCTGTAAAACTAGCAGAATTGATTGTATCAGTGTTAATGTTAGATTTATTTTGATGTAACTGCCAGAGGTGGTGCATTTGCAGTCATTATGCCAACAGTTCAAGAGGTCTGTAAGTCTTTTTTCCTGATTTTGTCGCTGTCAGAAATTCCTGATATGTTAGACTCTGAATTAGTCAGAGGCTGACCTGAAAGCTTTTTCCCTGACTGCTGACCTTAATTACGGTTTAAACAATATGACGTGATTCCATGTTTCTTGTTTTAGCTACTTTCTACAAAACATTGATGTATAGCAGCCTATCTAATTTGACCACTGATTTGTATACATGTTCAGTTGAATGTGTTGTTCACTACCATTTTCAGAGTTTCACAGTTGCTACTGGTAAAAACTTTGAAGGCCAACTGATATCTTCCATTTAAAAGTGTTAAACTCACTGTGCACCCACACACATAGTAAGGGCAGAAGACTTTTACAGAGAAAAATGATTTGCCTTTTCATATTTTATGAATTTTTCCACAGCTTAACACGTTCTTAATAATTTATTTACTGTTATATACACACTGTGCAGCTATATTACAGGTATATTGATTGAATATAAAATACATAAAGTATGTGATTTATATAGCCTCTTTTTTTATCTCTGTAACAGGCTCTATTGTCATATCAGATAGAAAAATTCAGTTGTATCCCTGTTCAAACTTCACCAAGACAGATTGTTGTATATTCATCATATGTAAGACTTGATACTTTGTTTATGGGTTTTGAGAGGTTGATTCCAAAGAATTGTGAAAGCATTCACCCGCACATTAAGACAGTAAACACAAATGTATAAAACAATGGTCTGTCTAGTTTCTGTAATTGTCCCACAGAATTCACAAATTCCTGAACTGCCGTTTATTGCATAATGTAAATAAGGGGCAGTCAAACTGAGGATAATTGAAATACCTTTTTAATCATCCAACACAAGGGAGGTTTTGCATGGTCAGTTATGTTTAAAGAATTTGATAGTTTATTTTAAATGAGAATAAAGAATAACTCTAAGAGATATGACTCGTGGCATTGTTGCAGGAACCTGATGTAATGCATAACTTTCATTTTGAGTCATCTGTAATAGATTACATTATGCAAGTATCTTTCACCACCCAATGTGTCTGTGTGTGTGTGTGTGCGTGTGTGTGCGTGTGTGCGTGTGTGTGTGTGTGTGTGTGTGCGTGCGTGTGTGTGTGTGTGTGTGTGTGTGCGTGTGTGTGCGTGTGTGCGTGTGTGGGTGTGTGTGTGTGTGTGCGTGCGTGTGCGTGTGTGTGTGTGTGTGTGTGTGCGTGCGTGTGTGTGTGTGTGTGTGTGTGTGTGTGTATGTATGTATGTAAGTATGGGATTTTCCTCATCAAGTAGTGGGAGTGTGCTCTAACTTAACACAGATGGAAGCAAAGAGGGCAGACGCCAAGTTTATTACCCCCGACCACTACATCCTAAAGTGCTGTGTGTTCAGCTATTTAATGTGGAGTTAAGTTAATAGACAGTAAAAGCAATGAACATGAATTATCCAATGCAAGTAAAATCACTATTGCCCAAACAAAAATTGGAGCTATTCTTGAGCCTAAGTGACTGATTTCCTGAGGAGTGGCTGGGCTGAATAAAGAGGAGAGTGGTTTTAACAAATGACTCCTGGTGCCAAATGGTTAACCACACAGATGTGGTGTGACCCACAGCCCATCAAAGACTGCCAGAGGGCACTGATGGTGTGAAAAATTAATAGTATGCCAGTTTGTATGTCACTCAGCACCTATAGTCACTTTAATTGTATCTTATCTTATCTTATCTTATTTCCAAAAGCCCTCTGTTTACATCGTATCATTTGGTCTACCCAATTTGATTAATTTGCACCTCTGAAGTACACTATCAACTCAAGATATAGTTTATGACCTGAAACAGCCATGTATAGTGGGAGTCAATATGGGCTAAACAACAAGTTTTTTGCCCTGGTGCCTTGAGAGATGAATAGCTTATTTATATTAAAACAGATAATAAATACATCTCAATTAAACAGAATATTAATATTTTCTCACATCTGTTGAGAAAGGTCAAACAAACATTATAAACACTACACAACTAGTGTTTTAAAATCCATACAAAATTATGAATTTTCATATTTGTCCTTGACATTGGGCGAAATGATAGCTAAAAAAGATTACCGGATCACACACCTCAGAAAACACAAATTTCAAACTAAATGAGTGATTTGCCCTCTCAACCTCTCGAAGCACTTGGGACCGTCCCGTCCCGTCTCGGCACCACCCAGCCGGCTGCATCAGCATCCGGCCCTGAACGGCCAACGCTTCGCCGCTGAGGTCACAGCAGCCCTCCCCCTCCGCGCACCGGCAGGGCTGGAGCGCTGCGATAAAAGCGGGGAGCAGAGTGAAAGCCAACTCAGTCCGAGCCACTAATCCCGAGGACACTGACATTTCTACTGCAAACATACCGAGAAGACAGAAGATTTCAGTGGGTAAGAGCATTTTCCTTTTTCGTTGATGCTCTCGCGATACAAATCTATCCAGATTGTGCACCATGCTGCTTTCTCCTCAAGTGACAACTTCAGTTCTCTTTCTCTTTCAGTCTGACTCGTGTTATTTAAGCATCATTATTATCTGAGGCTGTAGAGTTTATAGAGCATTGGCGTAGATAATGACACTGTCTTGAAAATATTGCACGGTCGTTATTTGATGTGGGATTGGCTCCAGCTCCCTGCGACCCTCAAAGAATAAGCAGTATAGTGAATGGATGGTTATTATTTGCTTGTGTCAAGTAGAAGTTGGGATGTAATCTGTTATACAAGATTATACTGCAAGACTCTATTCAGTTATATCAAAATATTACCCAACCATAGTAATAATAGTCTAATCAACTTAAAGGGTGAAGGTTAAAATGCTTTCTTTGGGATAGTTACCTTTAATCAAATGCAAATGGATAATCAAATGTGATTGGATGATATGGAGTTAGCTTGACACACAGCTCTCTTGTATTATTTAATGCTAATAAGCAAAATCAAATTAAACTTTTGTGAATGTAAAGTAAGATCAGAAATACAGAGAGGAAGAGGAAGAGAATTCAACATGACACATTACATTTTGGCGGACACATCCACCTGTTTAATCTGGTGGGAATCCTGTACACCCCCCCACACACACACACACACACTCAAGAGTTAATCAGTCATTTGTTGTTATCAAGGTTATTTGAAATCTCTCCTTGCAATACAGAATCATGAAGTGTTCTGTGGTTGCTTCTTTAGATGTTACAAGAACATGGTGATATTGTACTCTGCTGCTGGACTCTGTGTGTGTGTGTGTGTGTGTGTGTGTGTGTAGGAACATCCGTGCTATGATACTGTGATTCCCAGCATGTGTGTGTGTGTGTGTGTATGGTGTGCATCTGTATCTGTCTACTACTCAAGCCAGGCTCTGCACAGGATCACTGCCTTATCAAATTAATGAGTTGGATTTGCGTCTCCTCCCCAGCACCATCAGTCAGCGCTGAATCTCCATCGCACTGATACTCTGTACTGTTTGCATGTTGACACAAAGTAGAGTATGTATCCATTATCTGCATTCCCTGCAGTGTGGTCAGCTGGGTTTGTGCCTCAAGTTGATGTTTGTGACTCATAGGATCAGTAGTTTGGCTCATAAAGCTGTAAGTTAAGACTAGGTCAGAGAGATGATAGAGCTGGAGCAGACTCTGGGAACAATGAACAGAAGATGACACTGAATCCCTTGAGAGTTATTAATTCAATACTAGACTGAATCTGGACAAAAGCCCTCTTTCACATCTCTACTCTTCCCATCTGACTGATCATATAATGGTCTCGGTTGTGGTTGTAAATCCCATCAATTCCTCCGTCCGTGTCTCCTTCTCCTTCTTTCTCTGTGCGGTCCTGGAAGCAAGGATGACTCAGGACTACTCACCCTCTTTCTGCTGAACCTTGGGTTTCTAATTACATTTCCCTCCTCTCCCTCTTTTTTCCCTGCTCACATTTCTCTCTCTCTCCATCCTTTCATCTCCTTCCACGTAGTTGTTTCAGCTCCATTATCTCCTCAGTGTATACTCATTTCTGATGAACACCTGCTTCTTTTGGCTGCATGAATTTTGTGTTCCTTCCTGATAAGAAGTTGAATGCTTCATATTGTGCACAGAAGGAAGCTGGAGGGTAACAATGCAGCTCTCTGTTCTGCGGGACTTTACAGAGCCGGATCACAGCTGGTTAATTGAAGCCTGGCTGAAAATCCCAGAGTAAAGAATGCATAATGCCCTCTAAGTAACTTACTTATCAAGATGACATCACGTAGCACATCATCAGCAAACATGCTACACACATGCAAACCTTTTTAAATGAAGGAACAACACCTAAACTGAAGCTATTGTAAAAGCTATTGTAAAAGGTTGAATACAGGTTAAGGGATCCCAGCAGGTCAAACCAGTTCAAAAACACGTTATGATGTTCAGATTTACTTCCGGAAACGGACACTGCCAGCGTGCTGTGACAAGAGAATGGGAATGCTGTTCACAATCCAGCTATGTTTAGATTTCTAAGAAATATTTTTATGAACCTGACTTCAGTGCCAAAGTAAATAAGACCATAAAAGTGCCAAAGTGCATTGCAAAGGTGTGTCCTGTGCCATTTCCTCCCCTGGGTCCCAGTGTTGGCAGTGCACCCAATGCAAGCTCTTTTTAGTATCAGTTCTGACATTTGCATGGGAGATACAGGCAGAGGAGCCTCAGAGATGCTTTAAAGTGCACACTGAACCATAATTTGAACTTCACAGGTAGATGCAACTATGCTCCCTGCACACAGTCTTAACCGTTCTCACCGCTTTAGACTTGGACATTCTGGTCTTGTTGCTGGAAAACAAAAAATGTGTCATCTCAGAACCTCTACAACCTCAGCATGCCATCATCATTACACATCCTCGCTAATGGTCCAGTGAACTCACCGCTAAGATGTAGAAGACTGCGGTCAGCACTTGAAGACCAGTTCCACTAAATACACTGAAACTGCGCAGAAATAGGAAATGAATAACTTTGGTGGAAGAAAAAAGTTCAAAGCTGTCCGCTCTGGACATAAATTCTTGTGTGTGAGAGTTTGTTTATGTGTGTCTACCTTATTATCTTGGATGGATCTAAAGTGGATGCACTAAACTTGTGCATCTGCAAATTGTTGTTAGCAAGCTGCTGCTGACTCATAGTCTGGCTGCTGCTACTCTAAAGATGTTTTCATTTCTTCCATTCATATTTGACCTACTAGGGGAATCACACTCCTCAGGCTGCATATGTGGCTGTGCATGTTTCAACTAATAACACATTGGGTGTAACTGACGAATGCTTTAACCCCATCAGCGCCTGTGAGACGTCGGTGTCTTGTTCCCGTTTTAAGAGCGGCTTGCTCATGAACTAATTCCTCTATCTTACTGTCAGTCAACATTTCTATAGCGCCGGTCCTTACAAGCAGAGTGAGGCATCAATCTTGGCTGTAACCCTTCCAGAAAAAAAGACCAGCTGTTATAGTGATCAAAGTTTGGTTTTTATCTCATTCTACTTAATGGGGGGAAGAATATGTAAGGAGCTAACTGAATAGTTGCTTATGTTTTTTGTTAGTTATGATGCTCTTTTAATCGTTCTAGATTTTGACCTTTGTCCGCTTTGTGGACAGAACAGGCTTACCAACTTAGCGTGACTTGAGTAAGTAAGAGGTATTTTTTGTTGTTGCACCTGATCATTTTGCATGACTGTTCTGTAATGAGCTGTCATATTTGAAATGTTCAGAATTGCAATAAAATGCATTTTGTAACAGAAATCACATCAAATATAACATAATACAGTCAAAGCAAATAAGGGATTCTGGGAGTCAGATAAATGCAAGTAACAGTTTTTTGCCGGGAAGGTAGTTACATTGTATATAAAAGTTTGAACTCTGTATCCTGTAAATGAGAGTTTGTCATATATACGTTCATTTTGTGTGTTTATGTCTGTGTCATATGTATCCATCAGGCTAGTTACATTGTGGTATTGTTAAAGGAGCAGAAATGATGGCACCCAAACAGGGCCTCTGCATCTCAGATACCGCAGACTTTAAACAGGGTGGGATACACATATGTTCATGTCTGATGAGTGCGTGTTGGTGTGTGTTTTTGTGCGTGCGTGTGCTGATATGTACTGGCAGGAAGCACGTGTTTTTAGCTGACAGGGCTTGAGAGAGGGGTGACTGAACAGCTGCACAAAGGAAACAAAAAGGAAACTAGTGTTGTTGTCACCCTGCCAGTGAGGCTCAGTTGGAGGGGGAAAGTGCAGGGCAACAGGGTTTCTATTTGTCTGACGCAAGGACAGCTTTCAAGGGGACCTGTCCTCTTAATGGTGAGTGTGTGAATACGTGTGTGTCTGTGTTTTAAAAGTGAAGTCCTGGGGTGGGGTGCGGGGGATCTTTGTTCCTATGAACAATGAGCGGAATGAACAGTAAATCTTTGTGTAGGTGTTTGATTAGCTCCACGGTCCTGAGCACTTTGTGCATGTATGTGTATGTGTGTGTGTGTGTGTGTGTGTGTGTGTGTGTGTGTGTGTGTGTGGTGTGTGTGTGTGTGTGTGTGTGTGTGTGTGTGTGAGAGTATGCATGTATGTGTGTGTGGTTGCCAGCTAACACAGGCAACTACACACCGCATACCTTGCTGATATATCAAAACACAGTGCTGTTTTCTATTAACTCAGCCAACCACAGAACGTGAGTCAGTGGAGACCCAGCCGACAGAGAGGAGAGTATAAAAACTTACACAAGAAGAGAAGAGTCAGTGCAGGCCTGTATGCAGATGATTACTGCTTGTATGTCTGGTTCTTTGCGTGCATGTGTCTGTAGAAGTTCCTCAAGGTTATTTTCAAAGCAGCTTGGAAGTTCTTTATTTTTAGGCCATTTTTACGTTCCAGTCCTGATTGTGTGCAACTTTCTTCTCTTCCCCATTTCCCCCTTCTGCCCCCCCTCCACCCCCCACCCCCTTCCTTCTTTTGTGACTCATTTTTACTCACACTTGACTGAGGAGCAACAAGCGCTCTCCTCTATACCTCCTTTCTTCACAATATGTTTCCTTTAAAACAGAGAAGAGGAACAAATCGGATACCCACATCTTTCTCTAGTCTAGAAGTATAAAAGGGAAATACGAGTTTAGACACTTTTTCGTGCTCCAGGCCTCCCTTCTGTTTCCTCTTCCCCCCCTTAAATTCCTTTGTCACTTTATCCTCCTACAGCTGCTGCTTTTCTCTGTTAGGGAAGAGATGCTGCCAGTATGTTGCAGAAACTTTTTGCTTGTGCATGCTGCCTTTCATCACACCATCACACTGCAGATTGTGTTGTCTGATGGGGTTATCAGCGTCTCATGTTTGGCATAAAGATAATCTGCTTCCTGTTTAGTCCCAAGTGGATTGGTTATACGGCTATATGGATGTAAGTAAGTTGCAGGATTGGGCTTCCATGATGAACACAGCACAAGCTTTGTGGAACCTATTCACTCTCCCCCATCAGACTGTCAAGCACAGGCTGTTACAACTTCCTGTCAACACAACTTCAAGGAACTAGAAATGACCTCCCGTTTCCCATAAGCACCCCACCTTGCCCACCCTTTCCTCCCAAACGGTGTGCCTCACCCCAAAGGTCGATTTTCAGAGGAAAGGCATAGGGATGGAGGAAGGAAGCTTAGCAGAGAGACAGTACCGCTGGGAGAAGGTGACCAGTGCTGATCTTTTTCCTGCAATTGTTGGCTCAGTATTGACAAAGACAAAAGATTTATACAGAAAGACATGCAAGAGTGAAATGGCTGTATGGATTTTTTTTTCAAGTCGCCCCACTGTACACAGTTGCCAATGTTTTCAGCTTTTGTGTGTGTGTGTGTGTTTGTGTGTGTGTGTGTGTGTGTGTGAGGTTGCAGGAAATAAATGGTCAGTGTTCTCACTAACACAGCTTGATCACTGATCATTTTTATATTATGTTATATATTGCATGACCAGAATCTGATTGTTCTTATGATTATTATAATTCTGGTCTCTGGTCTTTGCTTTTCCCCACACACAGCTTCTCATGGTATCACTGCTTACATATGTATTAAACATGTATTTATATTCTACTTCCTGCAGATTGAAGACCACTTGAGTTGAAGACATGATCCGACTACTTGGGCTATTAAGTCTCCTTTCTGCTCTCTGCTGCAGCCTAGCGGGCAATGTAAGTACTGCACTCATTCTCAGTGAGAGACCAGATGAGTGGTTTTGCATGCTCCAGCCCAATAACTGCAAATCCTGCACACTTAACAAGGGCTTGTCTTGATGCATTTCACTTCTTACGGTTTATAATCCATCTGAGCAAACATTTAGTCTGTTTAATATTGTTGCATTTGTGTGTTTGTTGCATTGCAGCTTTGATCATTGACTGGTTTGCCCAAAACTTCAACATCCGAGACTTTAGAGTCAGCTGCTGAACAGCAATATTTTAAATGGAAAAATGTTAACTGTATTTGTATCTGTCCTGCAGCCGAGTTTAAAATCTCTGTTACTGGAGCACTACTGTACTGTGTGTGCCAACACGTGATGTTTGAGTCAAACTTAAAGGCAGCTAAATGCTGACTGGGATGGATTATTTGTGCAGAAAGTTCCATGCCTGTGCGAGTTTATTTTCACAGTATCCTGAAGAAATGAAATAAAATCACTGGCTACCTCGGTTGGAAACCAGGACCATGCAACCAGTTCCCATCCGCTGCCGCTCTGTGTTTAACTCGTCTTTCCTATTGCAGGTGGAGCTGCTCCGCACTAAGAGAGGGACTCGTTTTTACAGAGGTGAGCCTGTCAGGCAGCCAGCTAGAGGGACGCTTTTGATTGTTCATGTCCAGAAGTCTTCACCTTCCTTTGACACGTCCTGTGAGCCCCATCACACTTTTTCTTCCCTAATAACACCATCACCATCCTCATCTTCCTCATGTTCTTTTAATTCTCTGTAGTCATTCATGTGTTTGTCATGTGTCCCTCCCCTTTTTGTACCTTCATGTTTGTAACTCCTTTTATATGTGACAGTGATTCAGTTTCCCGTGTGTCTTCCTGTTTGATCGGCTGTATACTTATTGTTTGTGTTTGTGTGTGTGTGTGTGTGTGTGTTTTCTCAGCACGTTGTGTGGATAGTGAGCTATCGGCAGTGCGTAGTTATGGGGACACTTGGCTGCGATGGAGGGGACAGCGTGTGGAGTATTGCCGTTGTGCATTCAGAGGACGAGAGCTTTGTCATGTTGTGCCCGTCATCAGTGAGTGTGATATGAATGCACAGACACACAAACACATATGGACTGGCTGATTTTCTTGTCTTAGTTTCTTGTCAGACTTTTTTTTCTTTTTAGAGCAGAATATAATCCTGTTTGTTAATTTGCCTGTCAACCTGCGTGCCTTCCCTCCCTAACCTCTTTCATTATAGCTTCATTTTACCTCTAACTTGCTGTGACAACCTCAGATGATTATTTTCTGTTGGCTCTGCACGTTCATGTGTCCAAATCTCTGTTATTTCAGTGCATCCAAATGAAGAGCTGTTGGCTTTCTGTGTTTTTTGAGTGGGTGTAGTTTAGTCTGAAATACTCTTGCCAGCCCGGCCCTCATGCGCACTTTCACCCCCATTGACGAATTCTGCGAAGCATGATTGCCCCTCCCTCGGACAAATTACAACCACATTTTCAGTCTGCACCGTCTGTGAGCTCATACCACTGACAGCGAGTGGGGTGCTGTTATTCGGAACGCTAGCCTTTAGGAAAAGTTGAAATAACAAATGACAAACAGGACTGGTGATGGCATAAATCCAGCTCTGCTCTGGGAAAAACCCCTTGGCAACGCCATGATATATTTAAAAGTGAAGCAATGACGACGTTTCCTAGTAAGAAGAGAGTCAGGATGCACACAGACCTTACTACTACATACTACTCCATGTTTTTACGTCAAGTGTGACACATGAGGCCAAACCCACAGATTTAATTCTCTGTCTACGCAAGTGGTCATGGCCAATCAATCAGATTCTGATTATTCTAATTGTTTGTGGGCTGAAGAGCTGGATGATGTATGACTGACTAACTGGATCTGTCTGTCCTTTACAGATTGCTACGTGTCTCATTGTTACAACGGTGGAACCTGTAAGGAGGCTGTATACACCTCAGATTACATTTGCCAGTGTCCCGCAGGCTTCACTGGGCCTCGATGTGAGATCAGTAAGTACAAAATTAACTTTTTAATATAGCTCACAATTTATTTTTACTATTGATTCACATATTTTTCTCATTTAATTGTTACATTTTTTTTTCTGTGAAATGTGAGAAAATCGTGATAGTTTCCCAGCATGCAGCGTGACATCTTATTTTGTCCGACCAACAGCCCAAGACCCAAATATTCACTTTCAAATTTAGTGTTTTACTTTAAAGCAGCAATAAACGCAGCCATGTCCATAACATGGTGTCCAACATTAATTAAAACGTTCTACAAACTTGTTAGTGAGTCTTGATAAGGTCACAGTCTGACTGTGTGACTCATACAGAGGTGTCATGGGCCTGTGGTTTGGAGAGGAGAAGAAAGGATCATAAACAATGGAAACACATTCTGGGCTATGAATGTTTGCGTTTCTGCGGGTGACTCCTTGAGGCTTTAGGGACGCCCCACCCTCCCAGTGGGATAATTATGCGAACGCCAGTGGTCACAGTGAAGTGATTTCAGCCAAAGAGTAATGAGTTAAGAGTGGCCAGACTCAATAAATCTGATTGCATACTTTCTGTTTGGACATTGCTTTAAACCACTAATTGGAAAACTATGATATAAATGCCATTAGGACACAAGTTGTGAGTTTAATGTCTTGTATAAGAAATAACAATGTTTTCATAATTTTCCCAAATATTTTCAATGGCTTAAGTCTCCCCAGATCCAATATGTGTTTTATTGTGTCACAATAAATGAACTGTGTCAGTTATTAGAGTGATTCCAGTCTCAGCTATAAATAACTGACACTATATTCAGTTTAACTTTGTCCCTTTCTCCAACAGACACCAATGAGAAGTGTGTTGCGGGGCATGGTGTAGGGTACCGGGGGACATGGAGTATCACCTATACAGGAGCAGAGTGCATCAACTGGAACGCAACGTCTCTGAGAGGAAAGAGGTTCACGGCTAGGAAAGTGGACGCCACCAGTCTTGGACTCGGCAATCACAACTTCTGCAGGTATATGACCAGTGTAATGTGTTGAATTGCAAATATTCATTGCGTCCATTCAACTGATTCGGGGATCTGATAACCCAAAACATACTGGTCAAGTTTTAGTCGTCCCTGCGGGAATGATGCATTAGCCCCTGAATGTGTCTTACTTTGAGAGGCGCAAGCAAAGGATTATAGGGGTTATGGATATGGGATATGGAATAACAGGTGAATTGATGACTTGGCGAGAAAGAAGGCAGGAAAAAAAGATGCAAAAAATGAAGAACTGGACGATGTGATAATCTGTCTAATTTAGTAAAACCTTGTTAGGATGATGTACTTTAAAACTGTTTTATTTACAATGCAATTGTTTATCATTTATGTCAGCAGTGAAGATATTTACTCACTGTCCTTGCCTGTCTTTGTCCCTATCAGGAACCCTGACAATGACAGCACTACTTGGTGTTACATCTATAAAGGCACTCAGATCGTGTGGGAGTTCTGTTCTCTGCCCAAATGTCCAGAAGGTACAGTTTTACAAGAAGTTAATATTCAGTAAACTAAAATACAAGCAATGAAATACTTAATTGGTTAAACACTTGCTTAAATACTTTTTTCTGTGTGTTTTGGAGCAGATAAGAACCAACAATGTGTTCTGGGCTCTGGTCAGTCCTACAGAGGCACAAAATCTGTTACAAAGAGCGGCTCTCGTTGTCTCCCATGGGACTCTCCTGCTGTCAAGCGTAAGCGCAACAATGCTTGGAGATCTGATGCATTGGAGTTAGGGCTTGGCAGCCACAGCTTCTGCAGGTAGATATGCCAACGCACACAATATGATCAAACTAACACACATCAGAGGTTGCATAATATAATGCAGAATAACTCAGGTTTTCATTGCATTTCTTCTTCCTTCATTCAACAGGAATCCAGATGGTGATGCAGGTCCGTGGTGTCACACCTACAAGAACATGCAGCTGACCTGGGAGCTGTGTGACATACCTAAATGCTGTGAGTACCCTTATTTCCATTGTTTCATTTTGCAGCAATGTTGAAGCATAGAAGTAATATTATCACAACTGATGCAAGAAATCAGCTACCTGGAACTAAAATCATCAGTGCAGCAGTGTGCTAACAGACTTCCCAAAACTTGTCGCCTCTTTTTTAGTGCAACGTCCCTCTATCATCACCACTCTCAACCCACGTGCCCCCACCTCTAACAACAACAACAGAGGTAGGACATCCTCACATCCAATGAAAATCACCCAGAGTCCATTTCCTCTGACGTGCTTGGTGTTTATGTTTATTTAACAATCATCCTGCAACCTGTCCTTTCTATAGCAACATGTGGCCAGCGTTTGGACAACTCCCTGAATCGCCCGGAGTACCGCATATTTGGGGGCAGAGAGAGCGACATCACAGACCAGCCGTGGCAGGCGGCCATTAATGTTTATCAGGCCCGTAGCAAACAGCACTTTCACCGATGTGGAGGAGTCCTCATCGACTCCTGTTGGGTCCTGTCCGCTGCACATTGCTTCGAGCAAAGGTAGGAAAAACTCACATCCTTCAATCGTGTGCGCACACACACACACACACACACACACACACACACACACACACACACACACACACACACACACACAAAATACATGATTTAAAATGTTTTCTATGCAGCATACAAACATATTCCCTTTCTTTTTTTCAGAGATAAAGCAGAAAAATTGGAAGTGGTTTTGGGAAGAACGTTTCGGAAACAGAATTCCAGCAGTGAGCAGATTTTCAAGGTTGAGAAGTACTGGATCCATGAGAAATTTGACAACGAATCATTTGACAATGACATCGGTGAGTGAACATTAAGCATATAATCTTTTTTTTTTCTTTTTTTTTCTTATTCTTTTCTATTTTTGCATAAAACCTTAAACATGTCAGATGTCATAACTGAACTGCATTTTGAAACTTACATGTTGTGAATGATGAAAACTGGATGAGACATGTTGCCATGTTTTCCTCCAGCAGTGATGAACCTTAAGTGGGCAGCATATGCTTGTTAATACTTAAAATCATCCTTCAGTCATCATCCCACAGTCTCCTAGTGCATCACCCTGACTTTCCTGTGGTCACTTTCCACTTGCAGCCATCTTGAAGCTGAAGACGGACGTCGGCATCTGTGCCGTGAACTCTCCAGAGGTTCTTCCGGTGTGTCTGCCTGAATCTGGGCTGGTGCTGCCCAGCTGGACTGAGTGTGAGATCTCAGGCTACGGAAAAAACAAAGAATGTAAGAAAATCTTCCAACTAATTCATGGCATTCTCTTAATTTTTCACGGCTACTGTGCAAAATTACACTTAATTGACTGGACCAGCAGAGGGCAGTGTAAGCACGCTTTTCCCCAAACCTTTAATTGATTTATTTTTTGATTGGAGATGCTCAAGTATTCACTGAAACTCTCTCCACAGTTTCTGCAGAGTACTCAGAGCGTGTTAAGAGAGGTTATGTTCGCCTGTGGCCCAACGAGCGCTGCGTCCCAGATGTGCTGTCTGGACACCTGGTGACCCCCAACATGCTGTGTGCAGGTGACACCCGCGGGCTTGACGACGCCTGCAAGGTGAGAACGCTTAATTTTTTACATTGCGCTTCCTCATTAAATTAAAGCTGTTAACATTACTCAAATCTCATTTTTCCCTTCTCTGAATTTTTTTCTTTTACTTCACCCACAGGGAGACTCTGGTGGCCCACTCGTCTGTCGGAACAATGACAGGATGACTCTGATGGGTGTGATCAGCTGGGGCGACGGCTGCGGGCACAAGGATAAGCCCGGGGTCTATACCCGTGTCACCAATTACATCGACTGGATCAACGACAAAATTAAGGCAAATCCGATCTAAAGTAAGAGAGACTGCAAAGAAGATGTTATTGGATTGCCTTGCCCATAAGCACAATGGGTATCATGTTTATCATTGAGAAGATAGACAGGGAGGTCCACAGGACTCTCAGGACTCTTGTTTATCTGTTGATTTAAATCCAAACTGATGGAGGTTTTAAACCAGCAGGACCACTCCTACAGAGATGCACGAGAGGGACTTCAAGTCATGAGTTTTCATGCACGATGTAGCTCCATGTTCTCCAGTTTTCTGTTCTTTACTGTGTCAGGTGGGACAGTTTATATGGACAGGAGCACAGAACCAACTCTTTTTCCTCCTTCTGGCCATGTTGATCGCAATAATATTTCTGATCTTTTCATGCGTACAAAGCTTTAATGTGTTTTCTCAGTACTGCCTCCGCCAAACTGGAGGTCCTGGTTGGCTTCATGCTGGTTCATAGGAAGAAGTCACAGTGGTAGGCTTCATGTCAGTAGCACTTTTAATCCAGAAGAATACTCAGTCAAAACAGGGCAGTTTGCACAGTACAGTAAATCATAAGTAAGCATTTAAAAAAAAAAAAAAAGTTTTGTGCAAAGACTGTGTCACAGACGTGGCTTTTAGATATCAGGTGCTGTTGGCTTAATTACTTTTAATGGGAAACGTTCATGCATTTACTCTCTTTGGGGCTCGAGGGGTTGCAGACCGTCAAACGTATCTGCTGGTTCAGATTCTGCTTGTTTTTGCAGTTTTCTCTCCTTTTGCTCCCGGCCGTCTTGTAGATGGCAAATAGATTTGAGAGATTTTAGAGTCATTCTGATTGTTTTTTTTGTTTTTTTTTTAATTTCCCACTGGATTTGCAGAGCACTTCTCCACCACACACCTGGGTTGAGCCCAGTATGTATATAACATTTATATTGTCTAATTATTGATTTTATATTGAAAATGACAGGGGGCTGATTTATCTGTTCTACATTAAACTGCTTATCGACTGCAAAGCTTAACAAACTCACTTTGTTCTGTGATAGACTCTCAAGGGAAATTGGGTTTAAGATGTTTTGAGCTAAGTTAATATTTATGTGTATTTTATAATGCTTTAATACGTTATTTACTGTAGCTTAATAATTTATTGTGACTGTCATTATAATCACATACTCCTTTGTCAATAAATAATATTTGGAATAAATCTCCTAATGCTTTATGCCTTTTGAACTTGTTGTGGCATTTTATTGTCTTAGGTAAATTGCTGATGAATAAGTTTCACCGTGGCAGCTCAAGGATAACTAAAGCTCAGTTTATCAGCCTCTGACTGAAATCCAGTTTCACCAAGCACATTCCTGGCTCATGACTGAAGGGACTGAGCTGGAAATGCTGTCAGCGTGTTGGAAATGTTAACATGGTTGAGTTAATATTTTTTATCACAACATTTTTGTTTCAACATTCACCCAGATATCAGCTCTCCCAAAGTCAGCTGCAGGATCTCATTCAATCCAATTTGCAGATAAGGAGTGTAAGACATTGTCTGTCTGTCCAACAATGTTTTTCTAGATAACAGCCACTTTAAGATTATTTCCAAGCCTTTACTTTCATTTGTTGTGATCTCACGGACCGTTGCCAGTATCTGTTACCTGTTCTACATTTAAAATTACAAGAGAAAAATTATATAAATTAAGAAACAGTAAGACGTTTCACTAGTTTGAAAGTTCAATGTCAAGATTCAATCTGCTCATCCATTAAAACATGGCAATCACAGTCACAGTCGTCCTAATCAACCATGCTCATTACCAAAACACAGAAAAACGAACAAAGAACATAAAGTTATAAAGTGTTATCAGAATATTCAAACAACAGCATAACTAGGATTCAAATTAAATGTAATTACTGTGCTTTTATAAAGAGAGACTCTTGGACTCCAGTGATCTAATGTTGAACTACAAATGTGATCTACATGTGATCATTTCTAAAAGCAAAAAGACTTCTACAAGTAATTAACTGTGGGGACATTATCTGGTGATAAATAATAAGTTATCTTGTTGCCAAAAAGGAAACGTATTGGGTTAGTATGAAAACCTACACTCAGTTTCAGTCTAAAACAACAGTCCTGCAATAGATCTTCCCTTCATGAGGGTTGAATTTTTGTTGGGATTGATTTAGAGAAGCGTTGATTCAACTGTCTGGTCATTTTGGAGGCTGTACTTTGTGATGTTGTTGAACTGCAGCTAGGTGTACCTAATAAACTGGCAACTGAATAGGCTACCTGTAGCAGATAGTTTCAGTTTGTATGTGCCCTTCACACACTCTGGGATTGTAACCACTTCACTTTTTGTAGTTTTAATAGGTGTAAAATACAGTAAGCCCTGTTTGGATTCTTTGACAACTTATTAATAACTCCATTGGTGCCTGGTGTGCGTATCAAAAGTTAATAATTAATTTCCCCTTTTGATGGAGGCAGGAGTACAAAGGAGATATTTTCCAGTTGTATCAAATGATATAAATTCCAATTGGTTACTGGACCATTTGCAGTAGGGAAATTCAGAGCCGTGCTTGAGCTGTGCATTGGCTGCAGCTCTTTTAAAGGTAGAGAGCAGCAGGTGAAGCTGTCTGACTGACACAGGTAGGAAATGCAAATGATATCAGTTAGAGCTGCTCTTCACATCCTCTCTGTATCGCTCGCTTTCAATCTTTAAAACCATTTGCATCCAAGAACCGAAACAAAGACATTTCCTCATGACTTGAGCTGTGAGAATCAACCCAAAATCATGACAATGGTAAAGTACTATTTCATTTTTGTCATACTTTAGTTTATAGTCCGGTAACTGTGAGTGGAGTGAGGAGGAAGTGAGTAGGTGTTGTTGATGGTCGAGTTTCAGTGTTGGAGCAACTGAGTGCTCTGTAAACCTTCAGTGTAGTTACTTATTTCAGCATTTTTTCTTTTGGCGTTATGAATGGGGGGTGGGGGGGTGGGGGGGTGATGGCAGCTGCACTGTTAAAGTTGTGATTGTGTGGGAATGTGAAGGCAAACAGTAAAAAATGTGAACGTAAACACACCTACAAGCATCGGTAAGTTCTCAGAAAGTGTGTTAATCTTCCCTTTGTGTGTTCTCTCTGCTCAACAGACCTCCATAAAATCAGTTTCTTACCTGACGTTCAGGTTATGAAACTTTAATCAAACATGTTTAAGTGCATTTAACCAGGATCTTGACTATAAAATTGAAACACAGTTGGTACATACATGATAAATTCACAGGTGTGGTACAGGTGTTATTTTTGTTGTGTCAGTTACATCTTGCACATTAATGAAGTTTTGTGTGAGATTTAAATTAAGCAAATAGTGTCACTTCTACATTCTTGTATGTGGCATGTCAAGCTTCACATTTTGTTTGTTGTCAGCTGTAGTGACTTTTCATGCCAGTGATGTCACTTTTATCATAATACATTTCAGACTCTTTTACAGTAAACATGGCCACGCAGTAGTTTGTGCTGTTGCTCACTCAGAGGTGCTGCTGCTAGGTTTCAGTCTGCGATGTTTCAGGCAGGGAGAAACCAACTTACTGTCAGACTGCGTGTCTTTCATGTTTGGTGCTGATCTTTCTGTAGTTTTAATTCTGTTGGTGCAAATTTCTCAAAAACTCCTACGTGTCATAGAAAAAATATTTTAGTTCAGAGTGAGATCTGAACATGACCTGCTTCTTCATATAGTTTTCACTCTCTACCCTATTTGGCACCATTAAACCTACACCATACAAAGATATTGTGTATAAGTGATATCTAACTGCAGATGGGTTTTGGTAACACAAAAATCTTATCTTAGGAAAACAGCTTTGACAGTCTCTCAGTTTCCCTTCATCTAGTGTCAGGAGTTCATGCAGATAAATGTTTTGTGGTTGGAGGACTTCCCTGTGTGTTCACATGAAAACATACCAAAATAAACATTACGAAATAGAGGTATAGATCTAGATAGAAGCTGAACTGAAAAATACTGTATTACATTCAGTGGAGTTTAATAACTGATTTTCAGCACATATAGTATCTGAATATCTGTGAAGCATAAAAATGAAATATTATAGTGGTTCATATTTATTCCTATCTAAAATAATTGCTTGCGATAACACAGAAACACTATTTCTATTGTCTATGGCTCAGTGTGTCTTCTCCTCGTTTGCATCAGATTTCACTTCACGGTCACAGCACTTTTTCCTTTTTCCTGCTGTCCGCTCTCTGAGCCACTGACAACACTTTTCACTTTACAGGTGGTGTATTATAAATTTCCTATCAGGGAGATGTTACAGCTCGTAGCAGTTCAACCCTGTGTTTGAGGCAAAGCAGAACTTCACTGTCACTGTAACTTGATCCAACCCTAAAATGTAGATATATTTGGAGTGACTGTGTGAGGTAAAGGTCATAAATAGCAGAAATGGCAGCGCAGTTCTCTTTTATCTCCTCTCACCTGATCATAATTTATCAACTGAAAAGCAACTGTTTCCTGACATTCGGTGCCCGAGTGTGTGTGAGAGATGGAAACTCTGCAGGTCCTTCCTCACTCCCTTTCTGTTTGTCTGTAATCATTTACTTTACATCAACACTTCCTCCATGGCTGCCTGGCACTGTGGGAAAAACAGAGCCACCGTCACTCCGCTTTCTGATTTCGCTTCTTAGTTTGTATTTATCTCCACCTCCTCCCTGCTAACCTCAGTCACATCCCTGCACATGTACGCTTCTGTGATTTCACTGGTAATGTTCAGGAGTTCAAAACAGCATTGAGTTTGAATGGACTGCAGCAACAATTAAAAGTCAGAGAGATAAGGACATAATGAGTTACACTGAGAATATTGAAACTACATTTCCATTTAACATTTATTAGAACTATATGAACAAATAATCAGTGGCCGGAGAAGAACTCAGATCTTAAACCCAAGTAAAAGTAGTCACACCTCAGTGTAGAAATACTCTTACTGTTACGAGTACAAGTCCTGCATTCAAATTGTTACTAAAAAAAGTAGTACCATCAATATAATCTTAAAGTGTCATTGGTAAAAGTACTCTATTGTGCAGAATAGTGTAAATGTAGGTAAGTGTAATGTAAATGTTGCAGCAGATAAATGTGTGGCTAATTCTAATATCTTTATATACTGCTGGAGAGCTTGTGAATTTCCCTCTGGGAGTCAAGTCTCTTATCTTAATTTCACCTATAACACATCATGTTGTATTGCATGTATTAATCTGAATCTGCAAAGTAATTAGTAACTACAGTAAGGATATCAAATAAATCTAAAAAATGTAAAAGGTACAACTTTTCCCACTCAACTGCAGTGAGTAGAAGTCCTACATAGGGTGTTGAAATAAAGTTTTACCCTGTACTCGTACTGTACTAAATCCCATTCTGAACCAAATAAAGCTTTATTGTTGTTGTGTGACTCTCCCCAAAAAAAGCAGCCACTGACTCAGGCTTGATGATGAAGCTGATAAAAATGAAATGATTTCTAGCCAGGCCTGCAGCTAAGAGTATTTTGTCTGTTAATTCTGAGGTCTCTGTGTTTTTCAGAGCTTTTTTGGAAAACTGAAGAACCTGTAAGTATAGTCAGTATCAGTAAAACCTTATCGGTTTTGCTGTTAATGTGTTATTCATGAAATGAAATGCCCCTGCACAATCTCACCTCCCCTCTTTCCCTCAGACACAGTGGACCTCCAGCGCCACCTAAAAGAACAGGTGAGATTTAACCTCACGGTAGAATGAAGGGAAAATGTTTCGATTCCTCCTGTTTTTTTCTTTCTTCTCCGGATCACTGCATTTACTATCTGTCAGTGTCTAATTTTTAATCTGTTTCAGATAACAATGCAGGGTTTGGGTGGCCACAAGATGAGTTTGTAAGTAGAAAGACAACAAGTTCCTGAGACTGTGCTTCTACAGGTTGCTTTTAAAGGTGCTACATGTGGCATTTTTAAACATCTCTATATGATATTGTTACCACATGTCCCCGTGGATGGATGGATTGCTGAAAGTCAATCAAACCATTACAAAGAGACATAAAACAACCACAAAAAGACACCAAATGAATTCAAAGAAACACAAAGGACTTCAAAGAGACGTAGAACAAGTAGAACCTCTGTTTCAGACTGGATGTGTTCCTCCCGAGGAGGGGTTGGGGCCTTTTACATGTCTGTGCCCACTGGCCCATTGTCTCATAATCCATCCATGCATTTCCCATTAGCTCTGCTGCTTCTTTTTTTTTTTGGTGAATACCTTATTGCTGCTTGCACCCTGAAGAGGATTACTTTTTTTTTCATCTAAATTAATCAGAATTTTTTTTTCTTTGGCCTTTCACTGACTCCAGCAGATTTCCTGGACAATTTTACACCGCTGTGCACAATATACTGTAAAATGCAGACATAAGGCTTCCAGCAATTTTAGCTATGGTCTCACTCGACTGAAACACCCATACTACTGTCTCAGAATTAATGTAATGAAATTCTTAATATTCAACATGCATGCACCTTTAAAGCAGCTTCGTATTCGTTCTCTCTTATGGCAGGATGACGAGGAAGGCGACATGTATGAAGCACCTCCTTGTGAGCGTCCGGCTATGAAAGTCCCACAGAGACAAGTGGAGGAAAATGTTTATCTGGGTAATATCATTGCACTGAGTCACCACGGCTAATAGGGTTAGGGTATAAACAGTTCAAAGAGCTGTTGATATATAAGGCAATATAAAACTGACCTTTTCTCTAAACTTCTGTTAACTGATGCAACTTTGTGCAGAGAGGACGTCCAGCCCTGCTGTTCCACAGAGGCAGGCTGCTCCTCCACCCAGGGCGGGAAAAGCTTTGGTAACTCGTCTGTGTGTCTCTGCCTCTGTCAAGAGATTTCAAGAGTGTTTGAAATGTTACATTTAATGTTCTAATGAAGTGATCTCACCCCTGTCATTCAGAAACCTCTGCAACGGGCCAATGTTTTCAGCTATGAAGCCAACACCAGGAAACGTGAGTTATTCATCTGCATTCATTTGCAACTACACAACTACAGTGCATTTACAGTGTGCTACGACTACATCCTTCTCCCTCCCAGCACCTGAAATAGACAGAACTGAGAAGCCTGGGAGAAACAAGATGATGCCTCCTCCACCAGTCCGGTCTGTTCCTGCTCCAGTCCCTGTGTCCAACACCGAGGAAGGTGCAGTAATCACTTCTACCAAATTACACAAATAAGCCTTTCATATCCACCAGACTGTAAATGGCTATTGACTGAGAGGCAGGTGAATGTCTTTATTTGTTTTATTAGTCATGTTATATTTACAGAATTACAATCATTTGTCAAACTCACGCCATGAAAGAATTTACATTTGCTGTCGCTGTGCACCTGTTGTCTGCTAGATCTGTCCAAGGAAAAAAATGTCACGGTGCAAGAAAATATTGTGCTCAGTGTTTCCAGCAGTAACAGCAGTTTAATCAGAATAAATAAATGCAACCAGAAATGGGTCGTTACCAGTAAGTTAAGCAGCAGAAACAAAGAAGAGAGTGCCACCCACTGCACTGCAACTGAACTGCACCTTGACCGTGTCAGAAATTCAACTTAATCAGCAAACTGATTGCAAAGTGATCTGCAAGAACACCAAAGCAATCGCCACTTTGTGCTTCACATGTTGCCAAAATAAGGAAATTTCAAAGATGAGGAACTTGCCTCTTCACATTGTCTCAGATGAAGAGATGATTATTTCCACACCCTCTGGCTTCGCCCAGTTATCCAGAAACTTCAGGTCAAAGGTCACAGTCTAATTAGCTTAGATGCTCAGCTTGAATATTTCTCTTTGCCCCACTGTTGCAATTACCCTGAATACCTCAAATCTTTCATAATAGTCTAACTAACTTTAGTTAAGAAGACAATGTTGGAAAACTGAAAGTGATGTATAAATGAATGTTATAACTAATGGTGTAAGAAATACTCCGAACTTTTAAACCACAGTGAAGAAACTGTAACTCTGATGCTGTTGCAAGTAAAAGTCTTTCAAAATGATACTAGTAATAGTAAAATGACAGAATCAGTACTATTATAATACATTTAAAGTAGCCAACCAAAAGTAAAAATCTTTGCATTGTTAACTCCTTTTCATATTGTAGTCTCTTATATACAATTGTTGAGGCCTTTCCCCACCACTAGAGGCCGCAGCACTGATCACTGTGAGATTTTCTCTCTTCGTTTCAGATGTGTATCTGGATCCAAATGAAGAACAGGTGAGTTTAATTCACTGGCTTTATTCTTCTTTTTTTTCAGGGTCAGGGGACATGATTCATAATGTGGAAAAGTCTCTCATTCCAGAAGTATGATTAGAAGTTGCTAATTAGTGGCTATTTGCAAAATCAAACCAGACACGGTGGCTGGACAACTGTGCAGGCCATGGCATTCAGATGAAACTGCTTATTAAGCCAGTTGGGCCAATCAGGCATGGATTAGTGAACAGGTCTACTGGGCACAGGCTCACAGGACTAATGCCTCTGAGCATCTGTGTGAAGTGGCTTTTTTTTCTACTTTTTTGTAGAAAAATCTCAGAACTCAGGTCAAAGTGCAGATGTCCTGATTGTGTGTGTGTGTTTTTTTTTTTTTAATATTCAGTATCTGCCAACCATGTCCAATCCAGTATTTGTCTTTCTTTTTTTTCCCTTCATATTACAGCTGCACAGCACACTGAGGCTACAGTAACATTTCATTAAAGTACAGTGACATTAGTAAAGCAGTTCAAATAAAAACGGCAGCTTTAAGAAAATATAATCCTGCAACGTTTCTCTTCTTTGTCTGTAATAATTTATATAGTTTGTTGTAATATTGTTTAGAAATGTGCAGCCTCTCTTCATCTCCGGTGTGAACTAAATGCTGCAGATAAGTCCTGTAAAATGTCACTGAATGAGGCGTAAAATAACTACAGACAGCACTTCTTTCAGTCTGAGGGTCTTGGGCCTATGTAGGAGGTGCGAGGGGAACCTATAATGTGTCTGTTCCCAGGGGCCCATTGTTTCGTAATACACCCATAGAATGTAGATGTAAGGCCTAGTTAAGCAGTCGATTATCTGCACTCTGCTTGGGTGAGGGAAGGATTCAAAGACAATTTGATAGCACAGCCTGAGACCTATTACAGGGCCTAAAAGACAATATAACATTAGTTCAGTCAGAGATGCTTACACCAAGGAACTGATGGTTTATAACAAATGGTTAAACAGTTTGCAGAAAAGGCTCTGGTCTAAGAGGGAGCTCTCAAAGAGCTCTTTAACAGTCTGAACAGATTTACCACTTAATAAACATACATGAACATTAAATCTTATATAAATAATGCCAAAAGCTAAATACATAAGGAAGAAGCAAGCTTGGATGAAACAACTCATATCAGCCAGGAATTCTTTCTCAACTTCTGGCACATTTCACCATGTATTTTGTTAGATATGCTCCTGTACATCATCGTGACATGATAATATTTATCATTTTGTTTTTCAGGAAGATAATGATGACCTATATTTAGAACCAACAGCAGGTAGGTTGAGTCCCACTTCACAAGAACTTGCTCTGTGTGTGCTTGATGAGTGAGTGATAATCCAGCGGCAACAGTTACTTCAAAATATTCAAATGAAAAAACAACGAGATTTAATTTCCAGATGATGGAAAGCATGCTAAAAATGAAGATTTCCTTTCTCCCTGCTCCTCAGCTTGCGCTCCTGCCCCTCGAGGGCCGATGAGGCCGATGCCTCCATCTCCCAAGACGGCACTTGTACCATCTCCCATACCCATGTACGTGCATCTGTACCAGAGTCAAAGCAGCTTTCATCCTAATACCTAATCAAAACATGGTGATATGCACTAAATATGAAATAACCGTCTGTAAACCTTCATGATCCAATCAGACAACGATGCTGCTTTGTTTCTGCAGAAAAATGCAAATGTGGTCGATATATAGTGGCATCACACGGTCAATTCATGGTACTAAAGATACAATGAAAATTAACATTCTCCCCTATCTGCAGGATGAAGCCTCCTGTTCCCAGAGCCAAGTCTGTGAGTGTGTCCATCCATCTCAGTGCTTAGTCTTATCATTTGCTTATGCTAAGCGGCGTTGTCCTAATTTAAAGTGAACGCTGAATTAGAAAGTTTTCAGTCTCACTCTGGATTTCCATTTCCCACGTAGGAAATGAAGCTCAGCTTGTAACATGTATTTCCTCCCTTTCAGAATTCGTTCTTGCCTTCCTTAAATGAGGTAAAAACAGGTAAACACCACATCTCCTTTACTCAGTAAAACCGATCAAATATCAGTGCAAATTATTTTGACCATGGTGATGATGACGTTGAAGAGTACATATCTTACCTCTATAGCTCCTTCAGTTGAAGCACGACGTGCCACATTTCCTACCAAACTCCCTCCGCCAACCCCCAGTGTTAAGCCCCCTCTTCCTGCAAACCTGAAGGAAGCTAAACCCAGGTAAGAGGTGAATAACACAGAGAGGCTGGAGAGGATTGTCATACAGATACAAACTGTGATACAAACTGCAGTGATTTCCAGCCTGTTTTGCTGTTGACCCCATTTACAAGTGCATGCATACATCAGAATTAAATTCAGTGTATAACATTAGCCTTGCTGTCTTTATTCTAGCCCTCCAAATCATCCTATGGCAGGCACTAAGCCTGTGGGTAAGCTCACATCTTTTCAAAAAGAGGGTTTTTTAAATCCTGAGGGATGACTGTGATCATTTGGGGTCTGCTCAGATTCCTCACTTCATGTAATCCAAATATTGCATGGATCAAACTTTACTTTTTTTTTTTTTTTTACCATCTGTCTGTTGCTAAATACAGATTCCAGACACTGCACTTGACAAATAAAATGTTTTTCTATTTGTTTTCAGCCTCCTTTGGTGGTATGAGGGCAACCAAACAATCTGGGAACGAGGTGTGTGTCCGTCACAGAAAATCTAACATGACTTATTAAACAACAGTGGTGGAAGAGATACTCACAACCTTTATGTTTTTTAAGTTAAAGTAATAATACAACAGTGTAAAATGATTTTATTGCAAGTAGCAAGTATTATCATTGAAGTACAAAAGTAAAAGTACCTGCCCCCTAGTGACGATATATTATCATATATGACATTATTTGAGTGTTGATACTGATGCATCAATGTTGCATTTCATTGTTTATTAGTTTGCACTACTTTATTCGTTTGGCATTTTATCCAGTGGCTCCAAACCTACGGGTCGAGACGAATTTGTGTATTTGTGTTGTAATCTTTGCTTTTTGTGAAATATTGGATAATGTTATCTCTTTGGGCTTCAAACAGTCATTTGAATAAAACCATCTGAGACATTTAGATGAAATATCTGTTTGATGGAGCTGCCATCTTGTAATGAGGAGCCTCAAGTAGACACGGCTGTAAGGGTTTTGTGTTGTATTTTACAGCCTTTTCATATGATGTTTAATGTGCAATCGTAATTTAAAAAAAGTGACCTGTCAGATAAATGTAGCAGAGTAAAAAGTTCAACATGCACCTCTGAAATGTGGTGAAGTAGAAGTATGAAGTAGCGTGAAATTGAAATGCTCAAGTAAAATACAAGCGCCTCTAAACTACACTTAAATACAGAGTTTGAGTAAATGTACTTTGTTACTTTCCACCACAGTTAAACGCAGGATTAAAGCTCTGTTATTGATGTATTAACTATTTGTCATCTCCCAGAGTAAAGAGTGGTTTGCCGGAGACTGCAACAGAAAGACAGCGGAGGACCTCTTACAGAGGGTCAACAAGGTAAATCAAACAGTCTGATGTTTGACTTCACAGTGAATTAACAGCTAATGGTGGGGTGGGGCGGGGGGTGGGGGGGCGTTTCAACCACAATTACTTTTTATTTCCAAGCAAACACAAGGGCTTAAGGCAAAGGTGCTGCACAGGCAATGAAGAAACAAATAAAAGCCAAACTTGCGTCAGACACCTTCAGGGCTTCCAGGACTGATTTGTTTTTCACATTTCCTTCACTTACTCTGGATGATATGTCTCTTTTCTCACTAAACAATTCTTCATTCTCTCATTCTTCCCAAACTTTTTTCTCAATCCTTGGAGTGTTGGTTTTACTCAGATCGTCCTGTTTGTCTTCTCTTTCTCCTTATCGTAGGACGGTGCCTTCCTCATCCGTCACAGCTCGGCGCAGAACTCCCGCCAGCCTTTCACCCTGGCTGTGCTCTACCAGCAGAAGGTGTACAATATTCCCATCCGCTTCCTGGAGGAGACACAAGGCTACGCCCTGGGAAAAGAGGGCAAGAAGAACGAAGAGGTGAGGGCCAATGAGGCAGTTTTAAGAGAGGGGAGTGTCGAAAACAGGACTGTGGAAGAATTACAGCTGAGTACGAGTTTCATGCTTTTTATTTGGTTACCACTCTCCCTTTATCTCTCTCTCTCTCAGATTTTCACCAGTCTCGACGAAATGATTTCTCACCACAGAAATAACCAGCTGCTTCTGATCGACAGCAAGAGCCAGGCCAAGCACACAGCCTATTTAACCAAGCCTGCACGCCCTTAAAAGTACACTACTACAGCCTCTCTTATATTGTGTTCATATGAGTCATATCAGGATAATTGCACTGTTTGAAAGTTTCCAACTTGGAAATAATGCAGGCTTTTTTTTTTTTTTTTGTTGATAAATTGAAATAGAGAATGCAAACTGTCATCACACTGAAATATTGGCAGAGATGATGTAAATACCACAAACTGTTGCTCCACCACACTCAGCAGCAAGATGACATGACAGCAGCATAAACGCAAAACTTAAAGCTCAGAGACCGTCAAGTTCTGTCGTTTGACAAGGCGATTTTTGTCTGTTTTGCACCATGACTCACCATTTTAGCAATAATTGCACAAGCTTAACAGTTCTCTGGTGAAAAGGGAAAATGTGTCACTGTTTTACTGTAACAATCCTCCTGTCTCTAGGTGGAGAATTTGCTGTCACATCACTGTATTTCGCTGACTTTTAAATACACAAACAGAACATTTCTGCTTTTATGAGATATCAAACCTCATCACAAGAGCTTTCTCAATTTGCAGCTATAATCTTCACCATCTCTTTGAGCCTCATACTCATTTCCATTATTATGATCATGCGTGATGAACCGTTGAGATAAATGTCAGTAATTTTATTTTAATCGTGAGTATAGATTTTGTGTGTATCTTTTTTCCCTAGCTTAGTTTTTTGTTTGATGACTTTGATTTTGAAGAGACTGTATGTTACAGCTGTCTGTTTGGTGTGATATTGTAATATAGATCATAAAGTAAAGATGGATCTGCTTTACATTGTTTTTATTTTATTTATTCTACCACAGTTTCTCTATATTTACTGTTGTTGACCAGTATCCATCTATTAACCTGGACCCTGACCCTATAAATCAATCTCAACTTATTATGGATCCTCATCAGTCAGAAGGTCAGTGCAGTGAGCTGGGGGTTTGTAGTGAGACACCAGTAGATGTGTGTGAATGTGTATGTGCATATGTGTTCGTGTGTGTGTGTGTGTGTGTGTGTGTGTGTGTGTGCGTGTGTGTGTGTGTGTGTGTGTGTGTGTGAGCTGCCTCACAGTGGCCGCTGACAAGATGCCGGTGGTTATACCTGCTTCCTGTCAGGGTGAGACGACCTCTTCTGTGGCCAAACCATAAATCTTGGGCCTGCCAGAAAACTACAAGTCAGAATAGTAAGTGTATGCAAAAAACAAATAATCAACGTTATCCACTCACATCACGGTGAAATCAATCATTTTCAGAATTGTGACCGCTCTCTTCACAGGCTTGTATAGGGACAAAAAACTGGTCAACTTTAAATAATTGCCATTGAAATTTTGTCCACTGAATGGACTAAATCTAAAAATCTCTTTAAAAAAAATTGTTTTATGTCAAATTGTCGATTAATATAATTGTAATTATATCAGGTACCTAAAAGTCAGGAAATTACATATAGAGAGAGCATCATACAGTTTCAGCTTAGCACATCTGACATTGCCAAGATATTATGTCCTTTACTTTTTTTTAACATATTCGTTTTTTATACGGTAATAACACAGCTCTAAGTTGTCTGATCATATTATGCGGTAGATTTCAGTGCAGGCTGAAAGTCTAGAGGCTTGTGCGAGCTGCTGTATTTGCATAGTCCAGTGGTGTAAATGAGTGCTAAATGACTTCCTGGAGCCAGTGTAATTTAGCAGGTGGGTGTGGGGCTTCTGTGTGATTACTGCTGGTATGACAAAGTGATATGCTCTCAGGATCCTAACCCCAACAACACTGTGTGATTTGCACAACAAGCCATCCAACCTAAACAACCAGCACAGCAGCTCACCCTCCATACCTTGTAGAATCCCTTTAAAAGTAACAACGACCCAAATTTATTTTATGTTAAAGAATTCATTTTGATTTTGGAGGGTTTTTTTTGTGCTTTTCTACCTTTATATGGCAGTGAGAGTAGAGATGACAGGAAGTGAGGGGAGAGAGAGAATGGGGTGGGGGGTGGGGTGGGGGGGTGGGGTGACATGCAGAAAAGATCCCTGCCAGGAATTGAACCAGGGACAATTCAATTACACGGTCAGTGTCTTAAACCCCATAGGCAGCAGGATGCCACAGATCACAGATTTTCAATCAAAAATTGAATTAATAAAACATAATGTCATGGAGACTTATTGCCTCTGCTCTGTCACTATTTAAATTACCTGGAACATGTCCTCTGCTTTCTTAACTGTACAAACATTTCAAGCATTCTGTTGTCAATACAACTGTTTCCATAATAATAAATCTAGGAAAATAAACTTTATTTGCTGATCACTTTATTAATAAAATTACAAAGTGTTTATATTGTTATGCATTAATGAGTTTACAACTTTGTGTATAGCTCATTCTACTGTAATGATGACCCAGATAGCTAAATAAATCTACTACTACTACTACTTGGGCCACATGCTTGTTTTCTTCTGGCCCAGTATAAGCCCGGTTCCACGGCCTGAATCTGGCCCACACATAGCATGATTGTCAGATGCTACCTCCACATCTGGACCAATTCTGTGACACACACACACACACACACACACACACACACACACACACACACACACACACACACACACACACACACACACACACACACACACAGCAAATTTTCCAGCCAATGCTGAATGATGACAGCCAGAATCTGCCCAGGTGTGGAAGTACTGTATATGGGCCAGACTTGGGCCGAAAGACCCAGGGATATGTCGGGCCAGAGGTTTTTATTTTGTTAACTGGCAGATATACAAGTTTATTTCTTTCATTTTACTAACTTCCGACAGTTTTTTGTGCAAGCCGAATCCTTTGGAACAATATCTTTTTGATTTGAAATGACGTCTGTGCTGGCCACATCCTGTGAGAAACACTGACTCACATCAGTAGAGCACAGGCCTCTGTTAAAAGAGAAGTATTTTTCAGACCAGCTGCCAACTCACAGTTCATAATCATGACAGAAATAATGTTTGTTTTATACTTAACTAACTATTAAGAGTGTATTTTTTCATCTGTGCACAGCCTGCTGCTCACCAGGCATGATGAAAATGATGGTGATGATAATGATGATGAGAGTAGAGGGCCATATGAGATCCTGTACACTTCAAAAAGATGCAGTTTCAGCTCCATAGAAACACACTTTGTAAAGTCAGCAGGCCTCTCTGGTACACAGCTATGAGACATCAACGCAACAACACACTTTTTTTGGAAAAATTGTGTGTCAGTTATTCTGTAGAAATCGTGCAAAGGTGGGGCGCTTGTCACGAGCCCTGATTTCGAAGTTGGTGGAAAGGAAGGGGGAAGGGGCTGCGGCGGAGGGGTACACACTGCACATCCGACCTCTTTGACAGGTCTAAGGGAGAAAAAAAAAACCGAGACACTGAGTGCTTTTGTGAAGTCATCATGTTCAATTACTCAGTACGGAATTTTAGGACAGCCCCGTATCCGTACAAGGCTCGAGGAGGAACTGGTTATGACACGGGGCTCAGTAGTAGTTGAAGTGGACTAGTTTTCTTAGCGGAGGTGCGGAGTTTTTGATTCAGGACTGGTGTAGGGGGGCTAGTGAATGGGAGCAGTCACTGGATTCGTGTGATATCAACGCAAGCCGCCCAGACTACCTACTACTGCCCATCATATTTGACTTTTGGGAACGTTTAGGGCGCATACAGAACAAGACCACCTCTATTCCTCCTGTTGTCCCCTTCCCCTTTCCTTCCTCACGGATTCTTCAGACAGAGAAATCCTCCAGAAATGGCTCAGATACTGCCGATACGATTTCAGGAACATCTGCAGGTAAGCGGACTCGGAAAAGCCCTAAAATTAATCTCAGCTCATTTGTTTTTGCGCAGCTCCTCGCCCATGTAGGTCCGCAAACACACGGCACATGTCGCATTTAAATGGAATCTGAAATAGGGCTGCAGGGTGGTGCTCAATATAGCCACAGGCCTAGTTTTCTCCTGCCGGGCAGATGATGACTTGTAAAAATTGAGATCGTATACAGCTCCAATGCGGACCGGTGTGTCTATGTGTGTGTATGTGTGTCTATGTGTGTGTGTGTGTGTGTGTGTGTTTGTGTGTGTGTGTGTGTGTGTGTGTGTAGGGGGATACGCCGCAGTTTTCTCCCTTCAAGTGGAAAAACGCCGCTGTCATTTTCAATCCGCGCCGATGCAAACTGCGGTGTTTTGACACTTTTTGTTGCAGCCAACTGCGCTCAGCTGTTCGTGGATACATTGTAACTGAGACCCGAATGGCACTTGCACTCAAGCTTTGTGGCTACCATGTTGTTGTCATGACCTGCAGCAACATATTCTTACTCTGTAACCTTCAACATCAACAACAACAACAACAACACTGGTCAGTCGTGTCTGCAAATGTCCAGTTTCTGCGCTGAGCTGACACCGTGACATATTGATAATGTTTTTAGACGAGTGTAGTATGTGTGTGTGTGAAGAAGCACAAGCATTTATTTTGCACTCACTCAGTTACAACAGTTCAAGTAAGTTCAGAAAACTGCATCACCCAGCTGTGAGACCAGGGAAACACATCATTTGAGCAAAATCCTCATATTGCAATAACCAAAACCACATATAAGATCTATTTTCATGTTACAATATCAATATGATATTGATCTAAGAAGTCTCCTAGCTCTGGTTGTTGGTCGTCAACATGAAAGAGTAGCAAAGGCCCTGTAGTCTTTGGCTGGCAGTCTCTTGGTGGAAAAAACAACACAAAATACCCTTGTACAATCTGTGACAAAACAGGAAAAGAAGTGGGCAGTTATTTGGTCGTCTGTGGAGGAACTATTTCCTGCATGGCCCCCTTTTCTTCTGTGGTTTGGACTTTGATAATCGTTGTCCCATAGCAGCCCCAGTGCTTGGTGTCTTGCAGCCAAAAGAGAAACTTTGTGACGCACCCCTCCGCCTCCCCTGGTCTGTAGCCTGTTGTTATGGTAACAGCAGGCAGTGAAATGGCCTTTCACTAGGAAAAAAAAAAAAAAGCACAGAGCCCCCACCCCCCAGCTCTCTCTGCTCCCTTCCTCTGGCCAGTAGCCCCACTTTCGTCAGCCAAAGATCCTTTATCTACCAAAAAAAAAAAAAACAAAAAAAAAAAAACTGTGCTGGCCAAGAGAGCTTGCAGGCCACCAGGCTCCTCTCCTCACTGACAGGACTGGTACACTGTTGCTGGCTGATGGAGGGCAGTGCAGTACCTGGCAATGTCTGGGTTATTAGTTTAAATTGCTCTCTCACAGTGCATACCTTTCCCTTATACATCTCCTAAGAAAATCTTGCCTTCAGACAGTGATAAAGAGCAGACTGCTTTACGTTCCACCTCTACCGTGAAATCCCAGCTCTGCCCCAGTCGTATCCCCCTGTGAATCTAGGTGGCTCTAGCAGGGTAAAAAATGCTTGGAATTTGCAAACCCAGGACTTTGGGCCTCAAGTTGTTTAGCTTTTTTTTTTTTTTCTTGGCTTGGTATTTACAGCTCAGTGTCTGCAGTCTGGGTCTGGGTTCAGGGGTGTAACATGGACCTAGTTCTACAATGAGGTACCAGCCTTTTGAACTAGCTGTTGCATGAGTTAAAGAGCAAACTAAGTGCTCCAGATATCTTGGTTTTTTTTCAACACAAAAGAGTTCTTTAAAGCTGATCTGATGTTTAATGTGGACGTGGAGGATGAAGCCTGGATCTCAGAGCTATTGTTTTAGCGTGTGATTCAATAGTATTCATTTTCTCACTCCACACCAGTGGCTGTGGATTGCCTGCCCACCTTACACTGTCATTAACTGCGTGGTAAAGTCTCCCTCCATCATCACTCTTTGCTTGTTTACTATAGTATGATTTATGATGCTATCATGTCATAGTGTGTCATTCATAGACCAGTTGGATCAGTGCCCCAGATGGTTGTGTGGAGCCGAGTGTAGGCCACATCGCTTTGGCCTCCAAACTGTGGTTAAGTTCTGTGGATTGTGTTGGTGGGAAGATGAAGGAATAAGAGCACAGGAGAATGGTTTGTTTTAATTATGAGCGTGCTAAAAGTGAGAGTCATTTTCAGCTTATGTGGCTCTGCTGCTGGCTGTCAGTGCAGCGGCCTACGTATTGTACCAGCTTGTGTAAGTGCAAAAATGTCCCGCAGCTCCAAAGCGCCTGACCATTGTCCTGTCGAGTTGAGTTAGGAGAGTCCAACCTGCTGCTCTGCGGCTGTTTACAGCATCCTGGTGTGCTGCTGTATCTGTACTGATAAAGTGATGCCGCCACGTCAAACCAACGGATGTGATAGACGGATGAGGTAAGCAGGCCCCATTTCAAGCAAGCAAATCACATCAGGATAGGAAGCAGGATGACAGAACAGTCTAACTGGGTCTATTTGAACACATCTGTGACTGCAGCAGTGGCTGGCAGGGACGAGCCTGAGCGTCTGTGTTCAGTCACCAAAACTCAATCGTGAATGCATTGAGAGAGCAGTCATTCACACATACAACACGCACACTGTGTCCTTCTGTAACGTTAAATGAACTGTCAAACCTTCAATAACCGATTTAAGGCAGTAACGCGTTTGGAGATTATTGCTTGTCAATTGTTTTGTCGAAAAAAAAAAAGTCTCAGTCTAAAATCCAAAGATTTTCAGTTTACTGTCATATATGAAAAACAAAACATCAAATTCTTACATCTGACAACTGGAAACCAGTGAACATTTGAAAGTTTTGCTTGAAGAATAACTGAAATGATGACTCAATTTTCAAAAAGACATGCTGAATAATTTTGGTATTGTTCGATTAATTCATTAATCGACTAATTGTTTCAGCTCCAAAATGACCTTTTGGCCACTTGGAGGAATTGGAAACAAGCTGTAAACACAACACTGACACATTACCCCCTTTTAAGTATTATGGCAAACGTCTTAGCCAACAGTCAGAAAATAAAGTGTAAAACCAAAACAGTGAGCTGAAAGAAGCTAAAATGCTCTGTAATGATTGTGGCAGCTTTAAGGTTTTCTCTATCACTATCAGGCTGTACACCTATACGTACCTTTAGTGCAAGAAAGTGTGCAAAGTACCAACACTTCCACATCTTTCTGCTGCCTTCCTCATTTTTAATTGTGTAATCTCCTTATATACCCCAAAACCTCAGCTGCTGATGCGACGTGTCAGAGCCTCAGCAATGCGTCCACCCAGTCTATGACTCACCAAATACCGTCAACGCTGTATCATCAGTGAAGTTCTGCTGCCTTTGTTATTGCGATATTAATGCAGTTTTAGGGATCACAGCTGCTGAGGGGCAGAGGGCTCAGAGTCTCTGTGTGCGTGTGTGTGTGTGTGTGTATGTGTGTGTGTGTGTGTGTGTGTGAATATGTATTACTAGAGGCAGTTTATGGGTCACCGCAGACAGTAGGTTGTAGTTGAAGTGTGATTTTAGTCTGGAATGTTCTACTAAGAAGGAGTGCAGGGGGGGGGGTTGCCTTCTGGTGAGTCAGTCGCCCCACCCTGAACTGTAAATTGCCAAAGGCCTGTGTTACTGGAACTGCACTGTACAGGCCTCGTTCTCATCCTTCACTCTTCGTTTCTCATAAAAGGTGCATTTATCACTCTGGCTCCTCTCCTTCGCACTGGCTCCCTCCTCTCTTCGTTTTTAGCGGGATGCTGGATTTTGTCTTGAGTTCCTCCTTTCGTTCCCATCCTGATCTTCTCCCCCCACTATCTTTATCGTATTTTCCCTCCCCTGTCCTCCCACAGATAGTTTTGGCAGTCTTGAGGAGATGCAGCATATGGCTCCAGTCTTCCCTCAGGTCTTCTCTGTGGCCTTTTCAAGAGGCCTTTATCTTGTGCGTCCCCATCACGTCACAGAAACCGACTGTACATTGAGTTGTGGCTGTGTGATATGGTTGAAATCATTATCACAATATTGATAAGGATATTTTCTGATTTTCATACGTATCTCTATATGACTAATTTATCCCAAATCACACAAGAGCAAAATGCAACTAACTGTTATTTTAATCTGCCAATTATTTTCAGACTAAATCATATTGGTATGTAAGAAGTCAGTAAGAAGTGAAAAAGGTCACTCGTATTTTCCCAGAGCACAAAGTTAAGTCTTCAAATTGTTTATTATGTTTGACCAATGGTCTAAAACATATTCACTTTCAGTTATAGTTAAACTGAGAGAATAGCAGCAGTTCTTGACATCCTTAAAAAAGGACTAAATCAATTGATTGATTATCAAAATAATTACTGATTAGTTTCCTGTCAATCGATTAATCGTTTCAGCTTTAAATTGCGGTTGCAGTATACTTAAGTTTAAAGTTGAGAGATGATAATATTAACGCTGCATCAAATGTCGCTGAAAGTAAGTTGAGAGTGGAATTTGAGGGTCATAAAACCCAAAACAATGAGCTAGAAGAGGCTAAAAGGTTCTGCAGAGCAGAGGAGCTGCAGAGTTGGTTGATAATCCTCTGTGGGTTTGTCAGTGAAAGTGACTCCTTTCACATATACATGATTGACTTGATCCAAATTTATTATAAAAACAAAATTGATTAGTAGAGCTTTAACTGATCTTGAAAAATTGCTTCAGTAATTTTACAAGCCAAACATTTGACGTTTCCATCCTTTCAAATGTGAGAGTTTGGTGCTTTTCCTCAACATATATGACTATCAACTGAATATCTATGGGTTTTGGACTGTTGGTTGAGTAGAACAAGCATTGTGAATACATTACCCTGGGCTCTAAGAAATGATTGCTGGCATACGATCTGTAGATTAATTGATAGTGAGAATAATCATTAGTTGCATCCCTAATGCTATTTCTTTAAGAGCTTTACTTGCTAGAAAATCGTCTTCTCTCACTCTGTCCACCCTCGACTGCTGACTGTTACATCCTTCCTGTTTTGTAGACGACATGATTTAAGTGGCTCAGCGGTCGTGATGTGTTGTCCTGCTCTACCAGCCAACTGCGAGATAGTACAGTCCTTGTGATGAGCGTAAGGATTCCTTTCCGCTTGCCTCAGACTGCATAATGCAGTCAGCTCAGTCATCAGAGGGGAGAGTGCGTGTTTTGGTCTGCCCCTCTCTCAGTTCACAGTTAGTTTGACAATGTGCACAATAATTCCTCTGTTCGGCAGCCGCTAACCTAGGTGGAGCGATGCATGTTTGTTAGTTCTGGTAAGATTTGACACAGCAGAAATTGACATCGGCTCGGTCTTTGCGTTTTGTTGCATCTTGGGACTTATTGTCATTAGAAAAATAAATATACGGAATAATGAATTGGATTTGCTGATGGTACTTTGTTAAAAAAAAATTATAATTTATTCTTGGTTTCAGTGGATGTCTATTGGGGATTTTCTTTAGTGTTGCCTCAGACTGATTTAGGCTGAATAATCTAGTCTTAATTAAACTTTTCGTACAGCTGGCTGCTCATATAGATGATTAAATGCAGTGTCAGGGTTTAATCACAGGCTTTGCTGAAACAAAGGAACACTGTACTTTCTTTCTTTTGTAAATTCAATAGATAAAAGCGTGTAAAAAAAAAATAAAAAAATTCTGTTGTGTTGACATCCTGTTGTGCTCTGTGTGCCCACGCTTGTTCCCTGGCTCCATGTACCACCAGACCTCTAGTCTGGAAGACAACCTTTAAGAGTATCCCTGGAAAATTGGAGCAGACCTGCTGCTATTTTAATCGAAACACCGTTTTGCTTCGCTACTTGCTGTTTTTTTTCCCCTGCAAGGCAAATGTCAGAAGCTGCCATATATGTTTTCCCACTGCATTTTTTAATGTTGTCGTGATGCAGGCAGGACTCCTTCAAAGGTCTTAAAACATCTGTGAAGTTGGAATATTCCACCTCTAGCTTAGTTTAACTTCTACGCCAAATGTAGGAAACTGTTGGCACGCAGTAATGGAGAATCCTCTATGTTTTTATTCATTTAACATGTTTGGATTCGACCACCATTACATCTGTGAGTTAAATTCTAGCTCATAGCTCGTCCTTTCCGGTGGTTATCAAACAATACACTCTTTAGAATTTATAACCAATGAACAATTAGTGTTAAGTGTTTATTAATGATGTTTGTCAATAACTATGTGAACACCTGTGAAGCACCCACAGCTGACAGATCAACAGATAATGAGTGAATGACTATATGATATAACACCGTTGTAATCCTACATATGTCAGAACATTTGTGAATACAAAATATGCATTTATCATATGCAGTTGTTATATTGATTAAAGAAGTATTTATTAATTTGTAAATACTTTTTCACATGGACAACTGAGCAAACGTCATCTCCTGATGAAGTCCACAAGAGATGGCTAAAAGCTCTGGAAGAAAGATGTTTTTTTTTTTTTGGCAAACTGTTTTTTCTAAGGTAAAAATTGAAACTCCAAACAGCTTTACACACGACTCTGGATGATAATTACTGATGATGATAAAAGTTTTCTATCACATTGTAAGGTTGTTCATGTGTGTCATTATATATCACTGACGACATTTGAATCATACAGTCGGCAGCCAGTTAGCTTAGCATAAAGACTGGAAACAGGGGGAAACAGCTAGCCTGGGTAAACATATACCCCCTGTATAACAGCAAATGTTTGTCAGTTCTTGTAATTAAACAAATGAGATATAACATGTTCATTTGTGAGCTTTAGAGGTGATGTTAGGTGGATTGTGTTACCTTTTGACTGAGCCAGGTTTCGTCCTGCTTTGAGTTTATGTTAAACTGAGCTAATCTCCTGCATTAGCTTCATGTTTACCATACAGACATGAGAGTGATATCAGTCCTCTTATGTAACTCTGTCAGATACTGTGTATTTCCCAGAACTGTCACACTATGGCTTTGAATATGATTGCAGCTCAGTTACTAAGTTATTACTGTAATAGTTGCCAAACTCAATAAACTCTCAGAAATGTACATTACAGTCTGTTTATAAACAACTGATTATGCAAAACCTTAAAATGCTAAATAGGGTGAAAGTAAAGTTACCAGATGAGGGGAAAAGATTCTCATCGTTACTGTTTTTTATATTATTAGTTGCAGAACCTGGGCGTGAACCCAGCCAACATCGGGTTCAGCTATCTGACCATGGAGTCGGACAAGTTCATCTGCATCAGGGAGAAGGTGGGCGAGCAGAACCAGGTGGTGATCGTGGACATGTCCGACCCCACCAACCCAATCAGGAGACCGATCTCTGCTGACAGTGCCATCATGAACCCCGCCAGCAAGGTCATCGCCCTGAAAGGTAAGGAGTACGTACGGTGAGACGTACAGCAACACATTCAGGCAGCCACACCGCTGGCTATTAGAAGAGAAGAAAACTAAACAGTTTGCTGGTATTATTAGTGGCTTTATGCCAAGCACTGAGGTTATGATTGTTGTTTCAATTCCCAGAATAAAGTCTGCATGGCATTCACACTGTTTATTTGTCTCTAGTTTTAACAGATTTAGCCATATACTAGTCTTGCCGTGGGAATGCCACGGTCATGCAACGACTAATGCTCTGTCATTGCTGTGAATATGTAGAGTGCACTCAGTTCTATTGCCTGAACGTACTAAATTGGTTGTGCAAATTGATTTTCTGCCACTGAATCTAGCCCTTAGAGCACAAACACAAGCGCTGATCAGGATGATTTGCCTATGATGCTTCTCTCTCTCTCCCCCCCTCCCCCACCCTGTGAGGATAATATGCCCCTGTTTGCCCTCTCCCTGTGGTCTATCTTTGTCTCCTCATTCTTACCTGATTGACACTCTGCTTTTTCTCCCTTGCTTTCTGTCATTTCTCAGACGGTGAGTTGCTTTCTGTCTGTCTTCCCGTCTGGCAGTCTGTTGTGATGATACAGTGGCCATGTCTCTCTCATAAAAGCTTCCCACATGCCCCTCTCAAGTACGCAGAGCTATTTTGACCGCTAATCAATCAAAAGCAGAGACAACTGTTTAGAAAATGACTTCTGCTGCCACTAAAATCGCATCAGTATCACACCCCTACTCCAACCTAACCTGCAGGCACATACAGTATCCTACTTTTATGAGAACTATACATGTGTTAGCATGACCTGTTGTATGCTGGTAGAGTGTGTGTGTGTGTGTGTGTGTTGTATGCATCATCAGATATTACTGAAAAGAGTTTGGGCACTGTGTGTGTCTTTGCACGCCTGTGTGAGCGTGTGCCAGCAGCCGTATCAACGCGCAGATTTTTCCTTGCTGCATATAAGGGATGCCATTAGTGAATCATCATAGCTGTGTGTGCTGATGGCGGTTTGTACAAGCGCTGAATCATGCACCTCCTCACCTGTTTTTTTTTTTTTCTATTTAACTTTACGGGTAAACGAAGGTTGTTACTGGTCATATGTAACGTACTCTAGAGCACGGAAACATTGTTATGGCTCAGCTAAACTCGTAGTATGTTCAAATTAAGCCAGTAAGTCATTATGACCTTCTTAAAGCTGCCATCTGCTTTCTTTGGCCAGAGTTCAGTTGCACCCAGGAAGTGTCAACCAGGTTACTGTGTACTCAGCTTTGCCTATTTTGCCCATTCCCACTGGTTCCCCCTTACTGTGGAGGTTATTTTGTTCATTTTGTTTGTGGTTGGTCACAGCATTGAACATCAGCTCTTTAGAGAATTTATGTAAATACTGTAATCTTCAGAACAAGCTGTCAGCAGTTTTCTTCCATAAATTAAACATTTTCAATGCTGTAAGCTTCACAAGCACAATTCATTTCAACTGTATTGTATCGAGGTGTATTCAGGAACAAATAAAAACAAAATGATATATGTGGGTAGATACCATGTGTAGGTGAGTGAAGTTTATTCAGGTTGGGTGAACTGAGGGGGCTGGGGGATGAAAATTCAGTCAGAAAAGTCAGTGACAGACTAAATTGCTTCAGTGAAATTTAAGGGCGGCCATCGAGAGTGTAGTCTGGGACAAAGGGCACTACAAGAACAACCATTCGGAGACATATATATCCTATTTTTTAATTTTTCTTTTATGAAAACACAAACAACAAACAAAACGAATCAGTCTCTCATCTCAAAAATCCCCAAATTCATGAACATGTCAGTATTGGTTTTTGTTTGTGTTCCTAGTCATTATTTGTGCCGGACTTGTTTTCAGACATGAGAAAATACTAGAAAAAATGACCCAGTATAAGTAGTTAAGCACGTATAAAAAACATTACGTAAGAAAGATTTTAGTAGCTGTATTTTTTTATAGCATGTGATAAAGGTATTTTAAAAACCAGCGTTAAATAAGATATCATTGATTTTCTTTTAGTTGAGGTGAGTGTGTGAAATGATTTTGATGTGAGGTTCTATCACCCAGCTCAGCGCTCTGTACCTGCCTCACCCTCTGGGCTCAGTTATCAGCTTCTTGCTTGCCCGTCTGTCTCACTTCCTCCCTCTGTTTCTTCACCCCCACCCCACCCCACCCCACCCCACCCCATCTTACCACCTCCACACCCCCCACCCCAGCTGCCAAGACTCTGCAGATCTTCAACATTGAGATGAAGAGTAAGATGAAGGCTCACACCATGACAGAAGAGGTCATGTTCTGGAAGTGGATATCGGTAAACACTGTTGCCTTGGTGACGGATACAGCCGTCTATCACTGGAGCATGGAGGGGGATTCCCAACCGACCAAAGTATTCGATCGGCACGCCAGTCTGGCAGGATGTCAGATCATTAACTACAGAACTGACGAACAACAGAAGTGGCTGCTGCTGATAGGGATCTCTGCACAGGTATGAACACACATACAGTATGGACATGTTTACTCATGCCTTGTACAGTAAAAGTGCAAACGACAGAGAAATGGCTTTGAGAGGAATTAGCATGATTTATCACTGTCTGTCTGATCCCTTATCTACCAAACGTCCTCACTTTATCCGAGAGCACATCTTCCTCTCTGCATTTTGCCCTTCTCTTCACACCAGCGTTGCATTTTCACTCCCGAAAATAGAGCTTGAAAAGACACTTTCCGGTGTGGATACATGCAGAAATGCCAGCCTCGCTTTTTAATGTTTATCTTTTTGGAAAGTGATGATTCAAGCCTATTCAGTCAGGGTTGGTTGCTGTGTGGCTTTAGCCAACTTTCTGTCACCTCTGGCTTCCTCTGTGTATGTCAGTGTAGCTGATGACACAATGCAGGTCCATCTGTTTTAGTTTTATCAGACTATTTTGTGAATATAAAATGGTGATTTGAGCAACATGCAGGACTTGGCGTTCACCTGGTCAACGAGTAGTAGCCTATACTGAAACAACATAAGGGAAAGAATGGATTTGCAGAGTAACTGGAGCTATATTCACGAACCCACTTGAACCATGAATCATCTTTTATCTTTAACCATTTGATTCATATGGTGGTATTACTGACTTAATGGATCAATATTTTCTTTTACTCGATTTGTTTTGTGTCTTTGTCGTGCAGCAAAACCGTGTGGTTGGGGCGATGCAGCTGTATTCTGTCGACAGGAAAGTGTCCCAGCCCATCGAGGGCCACGCTGCTGCCTTCGGGGAGTTCAAAGTCGAGGGAAATGCCAAACCCTCCACCCTCTTCTGCTTCGCTGTGCGCTCACAGGCTGGGGGAAAGGTGAGGGCCCCCGGATTGCATACAAGGATTTCACTCATGATGCTATCACAGTGTATTTAGTCTAGTCTCTGAACAAAGACCTCTGAATTGCACAAAAAGACAGTCTTTTAGTTAAGATCATAGGAGAAACAACCTTTATGCTTCATGCTTTTTGGTCACCAAAATAGCTCCGAAATGACGACATCAAGAAAGTCAGCATTTACTAATGTGCTTGCACTACTATTATTTGATTTACTGTGGCTGTTTGCCTACTGTGGTCATTTATTTATGTGGACTTTCTTTCTCCAGTTGCACATCATTGAAGTTGGTCAGCCAGCTGCAGGAAACCAGCCATTTGCTAAGAAAGCAGTGGATGTGTTCTTCCCTCCAGAGGCCCAGACAGACTTTCCTGTAGCTATGCAGGTGAGGAGAGACCCCTGCTACTCGTTAGCATTGGATAAACTGAGGGTGACCTCTGAGCACTTAAGTTCTCTCACTGATCTTTCTCCTCAGATTGGTAGTAAGCATGGTGTTATATACTTGATCACCAAGTATGGTTACATTCACCTGTATGACCTGGAGTCTGGAGTGTGTATCTACATGAACCGAATCAGTGCAGAGACCATCTTTGTAACTGCCCCTCATGAAGCCACCTCGGGAATTATTGGGGTCAACAAGAAGGGACAGGTGAGAAACTAACAGTAAAGGTGCAATACAGAATTATTTTATTACAGGCTCAATAACAGGTCTGCTTTTGATGTTAAAGATGAATATTTAAAGGTCCCATATTGTATAAAGTGAGACTTGCCTGTCTTTTTTGATTATAAAGCAGGTCTATGTTCTATATAAATACTGTGAAACTATCAAAGCGCTCAGTCAACAGAGAAATGCACACAGCCCATGTTCAGAAACCCTGCTTTAAAACGAGCCGCCAGGACTTCCATGCCCCAAGCCCCGCCCAACCGGGCCCACCATCCAGCCTTGCAGGAATTGGTTTCTCTGTGTGTTTACCTGAAATTTGCTATATTTTTATTCAATCACTCAGAAAACAGTCAGCCAATCAGAAGAGAGTCCCAGAGCCTCTCTTCTCATTGGCTTGTCGACCTGTTGTTGCTAGAGCTCCAGGAAGAAGTGTGGTGGTATATCTACATTGAGATGGTTTATATCTTCTTATGGTTATCAAAACCTTCCGACCTCACAGAACACGTTTTTATGAAAAGGGCTATTGAATTGTTTTATTTTGTCCTGCTGTATATGGAGGCTGCCTCAACAGACAGTAATGTCATATTGCATTTTCATAGAATTTTGAAAATTGTTATTCTACATGTTTCCTTTCATGACTGCATTATATGCACAATATTTATGTTTATCAATTCTTTTCTTTCTAGGTCTTGTCAGTGTGTGTTGAAGAGGAAAACATTGTCAACTACGCCACTAACGTCCTGCAGAACCCTGATCTAGCCTTGAGGATGGCTGTCAGGTCAAATCTTGCTGGTGCTGAGGAGCTTTTTGCCAGGAAGTTCAACACTCTGTTTGCCCAGGGAAGTTATTCAGAGGCTGCAAAGGTTGCTGCATCAGCACCCAAGGTATGCCTGTATCTACTGCTACATTGTAGTATTTGCACATACTAATATGAACCAGGTGCATTGGCGAGAAGTCAAACATAATTCTAGGGAAAGGTACTTGCACACATTTTTACATTTGTACTATACTTGTAATGTCAATGATCAATGTGTATTTTTTTGCTGATTATTTAACAACAAATAAAACACAAAAATTCCAAAGGATGTAATATAAATTTTATATAGACATTGCATATTGTCATGTTTGCTGTGATACATATAAAGTTCTTGTTCAGAAGATTTTCTACTCTTGTATTTTTATCCTTTACTCATAATTCCTCCCTTCTTCACCGTCTTCCCTCCCCTCAGGGTATCCTACGGACGGCAGAGACAATCCGTAAGTTTCAGAGTGTCCCTGCCCAGCCGGGTCAGGCCTCTCCACTGTTGCAGTACTTTGGTATTCTGCTGGACCAGGGCCAGCTGAACAAGTTTGAGTCTCTGGAGCTGTGCAGGCCCGTCCTGCAGCAGGGCCGCAAACAACTACTGGAGAAATGGCTGAAGGAGGATAAGGTAGGGCTGGAGGATTAGATCAACAAGGCTGGGCTGATCCACATTTTGAAAATGATGATAATGATGATGGTGGTGAAACATATATATGTATATATAATGAGCTTATTTACCATGTAGTATCATCTACATAATGATCATTAACTCAGCTGGTAACTGTGATTACATATGTGTTGTAGCTGGAGTGCTCAGAGGAGCTAGGAGACCTGGTGAAGGCGTCTGACCCCACACTCGCTCTTAGTGTGTATCTCAGAGCTAACGTCCCCAACAAGGTCATCCAGTGCTTCGCAGAGACTGGTCAGTTCCAGAAGATAGTGCTGTACGCTAAAAAGGTAATCAGGAAACTCACTTGCCCTTTTCCATTTCCCTTGTTGAATTATGCATGGAAAACGGATACACATTTATTCATTGCATATATAATGACAACCCCACACAATACTGTATGATCAGTGGAAGGATATTCTTAAAAGTAACACACATATCATATCAGGCTGGAAGCACCAGTGAAATGAGGCGATATATGATACGTTAGACAGTTTATTGTAAATTTGTCTTATAATAATACTGTACAAAATAATAATAAGTATAAATAAATATGTGTCTATGCATTTCTTTGTATGAATCCATTATTACTGAAATGACAATCGCATTTCTTTGTCCAACTGTACTTCTGTAGGTGGGCTACACCCCAGACTGGGTGTTTTTACTGAGAAATGTGATGCGAGTCAATCCAGACCAGGGACTGCAGTTTGCCCAGATGCTGGTCCAGGACGAGGAGCCGCTGGCCAACATCAACCAGGTAACGCACACACAGCAGCAGTACCACCTCACACTCACTAGAGACATACAATATTGCTTTTACTCATGCCTGCCGCACGTTTATCCTCACACATGCACGCAAACACACAAAGAGCCCAGTGTGGGAGCCTCCATCTGTGTTATTCCAGATGTGCCAGCAATGCCAGGAATTCATTGAGTCAGTGACCCCCTCCTCCTTGTAAAGCCACATCATCACTCTGCTCAGTCCAAGTCTCAGATCGAGAACTTGACGACTTGATGCTTCTCTAAGTTAAGACCCCTGCCGCTTTTCATTTGTGGCCTCCACAGATGTTGTTAAATATGAAAATCAGAAACATCTGGCTACTGTGCTTGTGGTGTTTGATAGTGTGTGTCTCTAATCATATGTTGCATGCTAACTGAAGTTACGGCTCACAGATGGTAGGAAATCAAAAATCTAACATATTTCCGAATGTGTTCTTCTTTTTTTTTTCTCTCTCTCTCTTGGTAGATTGTAGATGTATTCATGGAGGGCAGCCTGATCCAGCAGTGCACCTCCTTCCTATTGGACGCTTTAAAGAACAACCGCCCAGCCGAGGGACACTTACAGACACGTCTGCTTGAGATGAACCTCATACATGCCCCTCAGGTGAACATTCAGGCTTACTCTCCTGATCACAATAAGCAGCCTGACCTTTGATAATGCTAAACAAGATTTGTGCTTTCATGTGTGTGTGTGCACTGTTTCGTAGGTAGCAGATGCGATCCTGGGGAACCAGATGTTCACACACTATGACCGTGCCCATGTTGCTCAGCTGTGCGAGAAGGCAGGTCTGCTGCAGAGAGCGCTCGAACACTACACCGACCTGTATGATATCAAACGAGCCGTGGTGCACACACATCTGCTCAACCCTGAGGTATGCCTGTAGAAGTGCGGTCACGCTTGTGAATACCACTTTCCCCGGAACAGCCACTTTTTACTCCTTTTTTTTTTTGTTTGTTTTGTTTGTTTTGTTTTGTTTTTTTTTTGATGATGTGTGAAAATGCCTGAATCCACTTCTTTTTTCCTCCTCCCTGCTCAGCCTGCTGTCTCACTTTCTCCTCGTCTTCTTTTTTTCTTATTCTGACTCTGCTTTTAGTGGCTGGTGAACTTCTTCGGCGCTTTATCGGTAGAGGACTCGTTGGAGTGTTTAAGGGCCATGCTGTCAGCTAACATCAGACAGAACCTGCAGCTGTGCGTCCAGGTCGCATCTAAGTATCACGAGCAGCTGGGAACTCAGGCGTTAGTGGAGCTCTTTGAATCCTTTAAGAGTTATGAGGGTAGGTGTCACACAGGGGCAAGGGGGGGGGACTGGGTCATATTGGCTTAAAGCGAGAGAATGTGTTAAATGCAGGTTTAAAGTGGTAATAATTGGAGCTAACTGTTGCTGTTTCTCCCACTGCCTTCTCTATTCAAGGATTGTTTTACTTCCTTGGGTCGATTGTGAATTTCAGCCAGGAGCCTGATGTCCACTTCAAGTACATCCAGGCTGCCTGCAAGACAGGCCAGATCAAAGAGGTGGAGAGAATCTGTAGAGAGAGCAACTGTTACGACCCAGAGAGGGTTAAAAACTTCCTCAAGGTAAAATGACCAACCTTTGTCAGAGTGTTGATGATTGATTTCATCAGTCCGATATACTGTATTACCCATTTCATACAATTTAATCACCAATGAACCTCGTGTTTCTTCTCTTTGTAGGAGGCCAAGCTTACAGACCAGCTTCCTCTTATCATTGTGTGCGACCGCTTTGACTTCGTCCATGATCTGGTGCTCTACCTCTACCGCAACAATCTACAAAAATACATTGAAATCTACGTGCAGAAGGTAAGAGCTAAGACTGTTTATGAGACTTTATACAGAACTGGTCTCTACCTAATCCAAGTCTCTCTTTATTTAAGCTCTATGGTGCCATTTTTATTAGTAATTTGTTGCTCTTGCTCTCAGGTGAACCCCAGTCGTTTACCGGTGGTGATCGGCGGGCTGCTGGATGTAGACTGTGCTGAGGATGTCATCAAGAACCTGATCATGGTGGTCAGAGGGCAGTTTTCTACTGATGAGCTGGTGGAGGAGGTAGAGAAGAGAAACAGGTAAGACTAAAGGATACAAGCTTGTCTGTGTCTTGTCATCTTGCATAGTTGCTTCTGTATGTCTCACTGCATGCAACATCTGATTAATACTTGTCTGCCAAAGTAACTTGCTGCATATTGCACAGATATCATAATACGGTTATGTGGAATGTACTGTAACCATTCGGCCATTAAAGCGCTCCTAACTGAACCTCTTTAAAAATGTAACCAGATGCCGCAAGTACACAGGCTACGCTTCCACTGAAAGACATGTTTGTCGACTGCTTGAATCACTTCAGACCGCACATCTTTCTGCTAATGACAGAGTGGGCTAACTAAAAGAACGAGTGGTGACCCTCAGAAAATAAATACTGAGTAGAACAATAATCCTCTCTCTCTCAATGATGCTTGAAAAAATCAGGAGAAATAAGGTTAGAAATTTTAATATTTATAATGTCCATACTGTCTATAAATTACAAACAGAAGTGACTCAAATAGCCATATAAATAAATATGAAGGAAAATGCAGGCCTCTGTGTTTGTCTTTTGCTCTGTGTATGATTGGAAGTTTCTGCATTTCAGATGGTGAAGTAAATGTTTTCATTTTAGGATGCAAGGTGCTTCCAATTTTGATTCTCTCTAGGGTTTTCAAAAGCAATGTTTCCCTTTTTTTTTCATTGATGCTTCAGTAATGCCAGACAGATTAGCTGTTCCTCATCAAATGAAGCTATTTTTAGTAGAAACAGTCTTTGTTTTCATTCTGTATCAGAAATTGTGAATGTCTGGGCTCAACTTGAATGAATGACACTGCTGAATGCACAACGCTGCCATCTAGTGTTTGGAAACATCCACCATGATACCGGCAGGTTCATGGCACTATAATGCATGTAAACTAAAACAAAACACTGTATCTTCCATTATCTTCTCAGGTTAAAGCTTCTGTTGCCATGGCTGGAGTCCCGTATCCATGAAGGTTGCGAGGAACCGGCCACTCACAACGCCCTCGCTAAGATCTACATCGACAGCAACAACACACCGGAGCGATTCCTGAAGGAGAATCCCTTCTACGACAGCGCTGTGGTCGGAAAATATTGCGAGAAGAGAGACCCCCACCTGGCATGTGTGGCTTACGAGAGAGGACAGTGTGACCTGGACCTCATCAAAGTGTGTAGCTCATATTGTATAGCTTTCATGTAATCATTCACATATTTCTAATATTGGCAAATCTTTAATCGCTTCACATCTTTTCTTCTCAGGTGTGCAACGAGAACTCATTATTCAAGAGTGAGGCTCGATATCTGGTACGACGGAAAGATCCGGAGCTTTGGGCGAACGTGTTAGAAGAAAACAACCCTTACAGAAGACAACTCATCGACCAGGTCCGGGTTTTCCTCCAGCTCCCCACCTTAAGTGATGCAGACTGTGAATGAGTGTTATTTTTTTCTATGTTTAATTTTGTTTTCTCCTCATTTCAGGTGGTGCAGACAGCACTGTCAGAGACCCAGGACCCAGAGGAGGTGTCCGTCACAGTCAAGGCCTTCATGACCGCAGACCTGCCCAACGAGCTGATCGAACTGCTGGAGAAGATTGTGCTTGATAACTCTGTCTTCAGTGAACACAGGTACAAGCAGGCTTCCAACTTGTTAGGCATCATAACAATTTAACCACAGTACTTCTCATCTTTTTAATAATGGCACCGTATTTTCCTAGAAACCTCCAGAACCTGCTGATTTTGACAGCGATCAAGGCGGACCGCACTCGTGTGATGGAGTACATCAACAGGCTAGACAACTATGACGCTCCGGACATTGCTAATATCGCCATCAGCAACGAGCTCTTCGAAGAAGCGTTTGCCATTTTTAAGAAGTTTGATGTCAACACCTCAGCCATACAGGTGAAATTACATGTATTGCAGCTTGAACTGATGCTGTCACTTTAAGAGCAAGCTCCAAGTACTTAGTATTTAATTAGTAATTAGTATTGGCTTGTGTAAGCTGAGTTCTGATCAGAGTACTTCTTTTATTTGACATTAAGTTCACAACATGAATGGTTATGAAGTTATGTTAAGTATATTAAAGGTCCCATATTGTATTAAGTGAGATTTACATGTCTTTTTTGATTATAAAGCAGGTCTAGGTGCTATACAAATACTTTGAAAATATCAAAGCGCTCAGTCCACAGAGAAATGCACATAGCCCATATTCAGAAACTGAGCTTTAAAACAAGCCGCCAGGACTTCCGTGACTTTGTGATGTCACAACAAAGCAGTCACTGCCCTCAGCCATGCCCCAAGCCCACCCTAACCGCGCGAAAACTGACCTTTAATATGTTTATCAGTTATATTTATGTTTTTTCCGGTCTAGTATAAGTTTCATTTCATATTTGTTTCTTCTTTGTTAGCATTTTAAGCAGCATTGATCTTGGTATTTAAAGCTGACAAATTAAATTGATGAGTATTGAAAATCTGTACTGGCAATTGATTCTGCAGGTCAGTGAATCTCGTAATTACTGTTTAATGAAATGATGAAACTCCTTTTATTCACTTTTTTATGACATTGTAAGTACCTACACGTCATATAATGCAACTCTCTCCCCTCCTCATTTTTCTCAGGTATTGATAGAGCACATAGGGAACTTGGATCGTGCATATGAGTTTGCTGAGCGCTGCAATGAGCCTGCAGTGTGGAGCCAGTTAGCCAGAGCTCAGCTGCACAGAGACCTGGTCAAGGAAGCCATTGACTCATATATTAAAGCCGTTGACCCGTCGGCGTACATGGAGGTGGTCAATGCAGCAAGCAAGAACAGTAAGTCTTTGCTTTGCTTGCATAACTCTGCTACACCCCAGCAGTGATTGACCCCAGGCTGATCTGTAAGGTGTTGTTTGCATTTTGCAGATAACTGGGAAGACTTGGTTAAATTCCTGCAGATGGCTCGAAAGAAAGCGAGAGAGTCGTACGTGGAGACGGAGCTGATTTTTGCTTTAGCTAAGACGAACCGTCTGGCTGAGCTGGAGGAGTTCGTCAGTGGGCCCAACAATGCTCACATACAGCAGGTAAGAACACCGTCACAGCTGTAGTGTTCTTTGGCAGGATGATCAACTGCACACCTGCCTGCTAACTTCTTTCTCTTTTTCTCCAGGTGGGCGATAGATGTTATGAGGAGGCTATGTACGAAGCGGCCAAGCTCCTGTACAACAACGTGTCCAACTTCGCTCGCCTCGCATCCACACTAGTCCACCTTGGAGAGTACCAGGCAGCTGTGGACAGCGCCAGGAAAGCCAACAGCACACGGACATGGAAAGAGGTAACTGGCACACAAAGAGGTTTAGTCTCGGTTCAACTAGCTTTTACCAGACCAGTGGCTTATTGGGATTCTTTCTTTTTCGCCATAGAAGGATTTATCATCTGTTATCAGACTGTTGAAAAAGCTGAAACGTGATGCTTCATATTCTAAGATAAATTAGCACCTGATACTGTGTTTGGATAGTTAGATTTGAGCACATCAACATTTTAAAAAGGACAGTTATTTAGTCAGCAATCAACAACAACATACCACTTCTTACCAGTTCTTATTATACATGTATGTCATGTGTGAGTTCCTGCAATTCAGGTCAACATCCAAGTCCTAATTACAACTGAGAAAAATTTGAAAAAACAAAAACGCCTGGAAAAGTAAACAAACGTTTCCTTCATGCCAGCTAAAGTCTGTCGTTTAAGCTAATTAAATTCAGATATAATGGCTACAGTGTTATGTTTACCATCCATATCTGCAATCATAAAACTGACTTTTCATTTGACGTAAATGCTCTCAAGTTGTAAAGAGGAGAATCTTTTCCATCGCCACCTTTCATCCCACATTATGTGCACAAGCTATTAGCCACAGAATCACTGTTTGGAGACTACACCCCCCAGCTTTTCATCTTTGTTGAGATGATGTGTCCAAGATATATTCAGATTTTACTATCTAATAGATTTATGAGAGTGGAATGGAATACCACAAGAATCTCCCATAAAAGTGTCTTACTCATATTTTTTTGTGATTGGTTACCAGTGCAATACTGGACTTCTTTTATTATACTTTTATATACTTTTATATACTTTATACTTTTCCCTCTTTGCCTCCGATCATCAGGTGTGTTTTGCGTGCGTGGATGGCGAGGAGTTTCGGCTGGCACAAATCTGTGGCCTTCACATAGTGATCCACGCCGACGAGCTGGAGGACCTGATCAGCTACTACCAGGACCGCGGGTACTTTGAGGAGCTCATTGCTCTGCTGGAGGCCGCGTTGGGCCTGGAGCGGGCTCACATGGGCATGTTCACCGAGCTCGCCATCCTCTACTCCAAGTTCAAACCTCAGAAGATGCGGGAGCACCTGGAGCTGTTCTGGTCCAGAGTCAACATCCCAAAGGTAGAGTATGTCTGTACGCGAGTGTGTGTGTTTCAGAGAGCGATTCTTTCTGTTGTAATAAATTAAAGAGTTCATGACAAACAAAGAGGCCTTGTTTGTGCCATGAACTTCTTTGATTTATTATTCTGCAAAGATTTCTGCTTTCCATCAGCACCCTAGAAGGAAAGTAATACTGTGCACAGAATGTTCTTTGAGTTGTTTTTGTCTTCAGTGGCTGAATCTGCACTGAAATATTACTGTTGTCTTGTGAGAATCACAGCTTCAACTCTGCAGATTTTCATGTTTTCAGTTTGAATAAAGGATCAGACATTCTTCTACCAGGTTAAGCTGTTAGTCTGCTATAGTTTGTTTTCCTGATCTTATAAAAACTATAAATTCAAGAGTATCTTGTTATCGAGGTGAAAAAAAAGGCTGTTCATAAAGTCCTTGAAGGCCTGAAGAGAAGTCTTAGAAAATATTTTTTACCTTGATAGTACTTGGTCAGTATTTCCTCGTTCTATTGATGAATTAACACTTCACATCCTGATAAAAGCCTCAAAATACACATCATTACCAATATAGGACAGGTAAAAAAATGAATCATAATGAGTATAAAAACTGAGGTGTCTTTACAGTCTTCTTTTCTTCTTCCTTTTTTTTTTATTTATTTTTTTTAAATTTTGTTCAGTCATTTCCTGTTGATAAGATAGAGCTAGTTTGGTCTTTTTCTGTCTCTGTGAAACAAAAGTTTTCTTTTTGTGTATAGGTCACATAATTAAATGACCCTCTTGTGTCCTTCTTTTACCAATATTTATCCCAAATATACCAAGCAAGATGTTTTAAGTCAAGGTGAAGAATCCTTAAATTTGAAGCCTCAAATCAACACTGAACCTTGAATATTGTTTTGTGTTTTCAGGTCCTTCGTGCGGCGGAGCAGTCTCACTTATGGGCAGAGCTGGTTTTCCTTTACGACAAATACGAGGAGTACGACAACGCTGTCATCACGATGATGTCTCATCCAACAGATGCATGGAAAGAAGGGCTGTTCAAAGACATCATCGCTAAGGTAAATATGAGTACTTGTGCCTGAGCTGTTTATTAGCCTTTTCAAACTTTTAATCATCTTTACATTTGCTCTTTTTTTGTCCTCAGGTTGCCAATGTGGAGCTGTACTATAAATCCCTTTACTTCTACCTGGATTACAAACCCCTCCTACTGAATGACCTGCTGACTATTCTGTCTCCGCGGTTGGACCACAGCCGAGCTGTCACCTATTTCAGCAAGGTAACCCGCAGGTCAACTTTCATGGATTATGCCCTCTATGTTTTTTTGACATGACGTGACGCGGGTTGTTTTTGCTTGACCAGGTGAACCAGCTGAAGTTGGTGAAGCCTTACCTGAGATCTGTCCAGAATCACAACAACAAGTCCGTCAACGAAGCTCTCAACAACCTGCTGACGGAGGAGGAAGACTACCAGGTCTGTTACTGCTGTTGATAACAGAAAGTAGAGGGACTTTGCTAGTAACTTGTTTGTTGGAGCTTGTGATCGCTGTTCCTGATTGATGGTACGATTTATCTGTTTTGCATTAAGCATGTTTTAAAAGTTTTCAGTGGTGTTCTGTAGACATCTGAAGCAGGTAGAGAACAGCTGATTTGACCTCCGCAGAACTGTGTTAGTTGTTATATTTGTTCTGAAAACTTGGATGACATTGAATCTGATGTGACAGTGTAGCAGTGAAGCAAAAATCCTTTCTTAACAAGTTGTAACATTATTTTGGCACCTGCATGTGCTGGATGACATTACTACTACTGAATTAGTGGTAGTAGATATACCCACTCTCTGTGCTCACTAGGTGGCACTGCAGTTACAGCTAACTGGTTCCCTATTTTAGTCTGTGATGTAATATTTTCCACTGTGTGTGTTATCTACAGGGCCTGAGAGCGTCCATCGATGCCTATGACAACTTTGATACAATCGGCCTGGCTCAGAGGTTAGAGAAGCATGAGCTGATTGAGTTCAGACGTATCGCTGCCTACCTGTACAAGGGCAACAACCGCTGGAGACAGAGTGTAGAGCTCTGCAAGAAGGACAAACTCTACAAGGTGGGAAAAAACAAGGGGTGTTTAGACATCTGAAATACACGTTCCTAACATTTGCCTCCAAGTACCTCCGTGTCACTATAGGTGGCACTGTTTGTTTACGCTTTAGACACAGTCGCTATATTTAGACATAGATGAATAAACCAACTGACATGAAGTAAAGATCAATAAAATCATGTCATGTTGGCTATTTCCTCACAAAAATGTTGGTTGAGACAATTTAAACTGTTTTGTTTCCCATAATGAGTCAGTTAAATGTTTCTGTTTTTCCCAGGATGCCATGCTGTACGCTGCAGAGTCTAAGGATGCTGAGCTTGCGGAGACTCTGCTCCAGTGGTTCCTGGAGGAGGGCAGGAAGGAGTGCTTCGCCGCCTGCCTGTTCGCCTCCTATGACCTGCTGCACCCCGACGTGGTGCTGGAGCTGGCCTGGAGGCACAACATCATGGACTTTGCCATGCCGTACTTCATCCAGGTCATGAGAGAGTACCTCACAAAGGTTAGTACCTCACTGAAGAGAGCAATACAAAGAGTTATTTTTCATTAATTTTATGTTGTCTGCTTTAAAGTAAAAGTAGGTTTGATTATCGTATACTTTTTTGAAGTTCTGCATTTTTACTGTGTACTAAAATTGGTTTATTTTTCTTAGATTGTTTAATTTCCTGTAGAAACCTGTCCTGACAAGTGAGAGGTGGACAATAGTCTGTAGAGGTATTGAAAAACAGGTCATGATGATGAGATGAGAAGGCAAAGAGAAAGGCTTTCTTAAGTAATGGTAGTTTTTGTATATTTACCAGTGAACTCCCTCTGGTCATCATGATTTCCTAAAATGTTGACCTATAGACATGTGAGGTCACGTGAGGTCATCTCTTTGGGTTCTTTTCCAGGTTGATGAGTGTGCAGCGAAGGTGACGGTCTCTGGCCCTCTTTTTATTTCTCTTCTGTGTTCTGTCTGTTTTGTTTTCGTTGTAACTGATCTCTTAGGTTTCTGATGTAGGAACCTAGCATGGACTGTAGACTGAGTTCGGCCTAACTAGCTCTGGTCCTGGAGAGCTGTAGTAGCGTGTGCAGGCTTTCGTTCCACTTCAACACCAACACAGCACATTTTTTTTTAATACATTCTGAGTTCATCTTCTGGAAGTAGTTTCTAAATTATCCTCCTGGGGAACCTCATTGTCTCGTTAGTATGGGTAATGAATTTCCATTTTCAGATAAAGGCATTTGGCAGCTGAGCCGAAACAAATTAATGAAAATATGCCAAAAGGAAATGGATGGACAAGCACTGTTGTTTAATGATTTTCAGTGCAAACATAAAAAATAACAGGCTAAATGTGGAAATAGTATATGGCACAATGTGAACTAAAGCAGTGTAAATTTGAACTAAAAGATTTGTGTTCTGATCAGGGAGTTCTGTGGGAATTCATGTGCCGCTGTAATAGTATAAGAGCTATATGAAAGAATATATCTCCCAACAATGGAAATACAATTAGCTGCTACTTTTGGGTTAATAAAGCAACAGGTAAGGAAGGTGTGTGCTGCTGATGAGATTAAAATCATTCAACATTTGCTCTAGTCTGGTAGCTCATAATATATTTTTCATAGATCCCTAACTTTCTGGCATTTTATGATCAATGGTTGAACAAATCTTGATCTAGATGTAATATGGTCTAAATGTGGAGAGCCTCTAACTGCAAATGCTGTGTTGGTGGCTGGAGCCAAAGCCTGTGCGCCATCTTGTTCCTCAGGACCAGGATCAGCCTGTCCTGGCCTAACAGATACCTCTCACCTCCTAACTCCTCTGTCTTGGGGCTGCATCTAGTGTTAAGTGGCATTTTTTTATTTATTTTTTTTTTTTTTTTTTTTTAAATCTTGACAATTTCAATTGTGCTGATGCAAAGTCATGAGATTGATCTTATGGTACAGCATAGCAGAATATAAGAAAAACAGGGATTATTTTCACCTGGCTAACGCTCTCCAAAGGCAGGTGAGCAGAGCAGGCCACTCTAGACTTGTTGGATGCATCCCCATGTTGCTAACTCCAGTTTAACAAGTTTTAGTTTCAGATGTTCAGCTGTTAGATCAGTGCAGAGTCCTCCTTTCTTCAGTCTCTGGGGGATTTTTTTATTTCGGCTAATCAGACATCTTATATGCTTTGTTCCGTAAATAGCTGGTCAAACTGGTTGCAGCCACTCAGGAAGTGAGATACCAACCCCTTCATAGTAGTTGAGCACATACCAGGAAACAGCAGTAAGATCATACTGATATGTCTATTAGATGCATCTGGCATTTTAAGTGCATTTCAGAAATAATGTTTCATTCACACTCTATATAATATTTTGGGAGTCAAATGAAAAGTTCTTCACAGATGCTGTTTAACCGTTTCACTCCTTTGCTAAAACCTTTCTTGAAATTATTACTCGACAGAAATTCTACATTAATTGAGCTGAATCATTGTTTTAATTGATCTCCACTTACATCAGAAACCTTCTGCGTTCAGCTGTCTCCACAGTTGAAGCACATTGCTTGATTATTTCTTTGCACTTAGTGACTAGGAAAATTGGCACCACAATCAACTCACTGCGCAAACACTGCGTGCCTGGCAGGGATGAGCTTAACATGTGAGCTTCTAAGTTGTAGCTTGATTTTTTTTTTTTTTTTTGTCTAGCAGAATAAAATACACAAGGAAATCTGCAAGGAGGGCCTGCTTACAGCCAATGAATGGGATGCATGTGGAAGCTGTGATTATCATTTATTGATATTAGACTGTTAACTGTGAATGGCTGGAAATGTAGCATCAGCATATAGGCATGTTTAGCTTTTCCTTTACTTAATACACAATGTAATATTTCTTTAACCTTCAATCCCACTTTAATTCTACTTTTAAAGAGTCAGTTCACACAAATCACAAAAAAAAGACAAAAAAACATTTTCCCACGGTGGTATCTAGCCACGATGTAGTTTTGTTGTTGTTTGTTTTTGAGATGTCTGCCACTGCCCTGTCCCATCAGTGTAAATCAGCTTTTACATCTGGTGCTCAGAACATTCAAAAACAACATTTGAGAAACTCAAGGAAGGTCTTTCCAAATATAATGCCTCTGTTATCTTGTTATTCTTGATTCACCACAAATGTCGTTGTCAGCAGTTTTCACTGGAAACGGTTTTCTACTAAATGTAAAAAATGATGACAACTGTCAACAATGAGATCTGTGGATAATTTGATGATAAGCATGAACATTGTGTTTGGAAAGAGACATCGCTTTGAGTTTTTTTAACCTCGTTTTTCAGTGCTTTGAGCAGCCTGGAAGACATTTCTTTCCAGTGTATTGAGCTGGGGTGATGGCAGGGGTAGGGGTCTCAGCAGACACTATCTGCATGGTTAGAAACCACCAGGGGTTAAGTGGTTATTTACTCATTTATTTTTGTGATTTGGGTGAATGCACCCTTTAATCGTTGATATAACATTTGTACTGGAAGCTGTTTTAGAAATTCTCACCAAACCTGCATGGCATCTTCTCTTGGGTAACCTTAGCTGCACTGTGGAGTACTGTGTGTAGTTTTGTCTTTAAGAAGTGGGTATGATAAATCAGCTGTGTTAAATAGTCATATTTTTAAGAATCTATTTGTTTGAAATTAAATTTAAAAAATGTGTAGTCTTACAACTGAGGCATCAGAGTTTATGGTCTGATGTGCATCAAATGAGAAAGTAAATACAACTGGCAGATCATTACATTGTAGGTGTCTGGAGAAAATCTTAGATTCATAATGTTTTCTTTTTTACTGACAGCTGTCATATAGTTTTACATCCATATTATCAGGACACATTTGGAAATTTAAAACCTATGCTTGGATTTTTATGTTTAAACAGTCTACAAAGCTGAGTGCACGTAGTTAAAAAGGTTTCTGCAGGACACCTATAATGTATGAAATCAGACTCTCAGACTTTGTTTTACTCTCTACAGTGTGAGAGTGATCCACGTCTGATCTGTCCTCTTTCCTTTGTTGCCATCAGGTGGACAAGCTGGAGGAGGCAGAAAGCCAAAGGAAAACTGAGGAGGAGGTGACGGAGCCTCAGCCGATTGTGTTTGGTAGGTTCACAGACAGCAAGTCACCCTGAAGGACAGACAGTTGTGGCTCCTGAATGGGAGGAAATTATCTGTCCGTGGCCATTCTCAGAAACCATTAGTGTGTTAAACCTGGGTGAAAAAAAAACAGCTGTGTCAGTTGAAATGTTACGAAAACTAATTTTAGTAAAACATCAAGATAAATGTGAATGAATAAACAGGAAGTAGATTGTAGTTCGCATAAGCAATGATAAACACCATCGCTGAACAAATATGTAAGAGCGCCGTCTACAGTAAGTTCATTTGCTGAAAACACAAAAAGTATGGCTGGACGATGTTATCTGAAATCTGTTTCACACTATATAGGCATTTATCTCTAAAGATAAATGGAACAACACATTTTTTAAATGCATCAGTACTTGACATTTCCTTTGTTGTTACTCTTCATATTAATTACAGTATAACCGGTTAAAGACTCTGGATTTACGTGCTAGACTTTGCAGTGATTGGGTTGGTTTGCAGTCTGGTTAGATGTCATTGATAATTGCAGCCCATTTCAGTTTAATTATCTTAGATTCAGACCACTGATTTATTAAAAACTGCAATTAAAGTAAATTTAAGATTAACAATGTCTGCACTTTGATAAATTCTGACATGATGTGGTTTAAAAAACGTGTGCAAAAAATAAATAAATAAATAAACGCAATGAGAGCTTTATTTAAAGCTCATTTTTATGTAGCATGTAACTCTGTGTGTGTGCTTGTGTTTGTTTGTCTGATCAGGCCAGCAGCTGATGTTGACTGCCTCTCCTACTCCAGTGGCTCCCCAGCCAGCGTACTCGGGCTACGGCTACCCTGCCACCGGAGCGGGCTACCCTGCTCAGGCTGCTGCTGCCGCTGCCGCCGCCGCCGCCGCCGCCGGCTACCCTGCTCAGCCCGCTTATGGCTTCAACATGTAGAGGCCTGACCTCGCCTCTTCCACCCCCTCTCCCCTCTCTCCCCTACACACACTCACACACACCGTAGACCTGAACCACGCTGAACCGTGCTGCTCTGGGTCTCAACTGGCCAACTGATGGCGCAGAGGCCCCACCCCCACCCCCCAACCCACCACCTTACCTGGGCATTCATTTCCCAATGAGACTCCACCTGAGTTCACTGAAACTGCAATAGAAACCCTTCATCTCTACTTCCTCCACACACACTTCAGAAGGACTGCATCAAGGCTCTTGGACCCCCCCCCTTCCGCTTTCCATCTTAGTGGAATTATAACTGCATCACTGATCTACACAGCATGAAGTCACCTCTCAGCTCCTAGAGGAATTAACATACCGAAGATAACATTAGTGACACCAAACCACTGTCCTGTTGCTGTTCCGTGTAGACTTTACTAACCATAGAGCAGCTTTTCCCCTTTGTTTTATTTTCTTTTTTTCCTGTAGATTCAGCACTGATGAGGAAGAGACTTTGTTCATGAGGAGTGGAGGGGCATGTGTGTGTGTGTCTCCCCCTCCCTCCTAAAGCACTGCTACGGCCTTATACACTTTGAGGAGGTGGCAAAAAAAAAAACAAAAAAAAAACAGGCTCATTTGTTCATGTTTAATTTCACAACTGTCTCATGCTCTGATTAGTCAAGGCAGTTACTGTGCAATAGTTTTGTTTGTCCTTTCACAACAGGTACAAAGTGTTTGCTGTATATGGACTAAGAACACTTGTTTATGAGGTTACGGTACTGTCTGTGTGTGCGTGTGTGTGTGCGTGTGTGTGTGCGTGTGTGTGTGCGTGTGTGTGTGCGTGTGTGTGTGCGTGTGTGTGTGCGTGTGTGAGTGTGCGTGTGTGTGTGTGTAGCCTCTTAAGCCTTTGAGGGATACATCACCAAACCAAGAGACACTCAATGAAATTTCCACTCCCTTGCAGCAGCGAACCTTTTGCTGGGGTCAGGGTGGTTGATCTCATCAGTTTGACTTTTTGGACTCTGATACCGGAGCTCTGGAGTTTCAGGATGAATGTGACAAAAAGACAAAATGAAAGAAAGACAGGAAGGAGGTGAATTAATTAAAAAAAAAACAAAAAAACTATATGCTGTAGTCTGTGCATGTGCTGCCAAACTATAATGCTGCAACCAGGAGCACAATTGTCATGTTACACTCAAGTATATCAAGTATTACTAATGTTGTTTCAAAACCTACGTGATGTTCGTTGAAACTTTCTCACCCGACTAACAGAAAACGGTGATGAAGCTCCAGCAGACGAAGAAGAAGTGAAAACACAGGGGAACATTAGCTCACATCCTGGTGCCAGTTGTTTCAAAAAAAAAAGAAAAGAATAATCATTATTGTACTGAAAACAGTGTATAATTTAAGATATATTGAAATACCTAACTAATCAAAGAAGTCAAATATTATGGAATACCGTATGTATTGTCTATAGTGTGTTGTTGTAGTCTTAAAAAGCATAATGATTTTTGTAAGAAAAGGACAAAATGCAAAAACAGCAGGTGAATAAATGGCCAAGTCTTGAGGTAAGGCTGCGCAAAGCGGTGACAGTTTGGTTGATTGTGTACTTCCTGTGCTGTCCGACAGGCCCTGTATGATACACTGAGCTCTGTCTCCACCGTGGTGTCATCTCTGGATTTGTCAAAGCGGGAAAGCAAAAAAAAAAACAAAAAAGCAACAAAAAAAAAAACAAAAAACTGAGCTGCACATGAAGCACTCCCTTTATCTGCACAAGTCATGCATACAGAAAGAGGAAATAAAGTTTACACACAGTGTTGTTTGTGCATTTTTTCCTCCCGTTCAGGAGAAATAAATGCTCACTGCTGGGTCCAGCCTCTGTTTTCTGTGTATTTTGGGTGGGGGAGTTTTGCAGTTTCTGTTACACCTTTATTTTTTATTTTGGTAACCAAGCTGCCCAGACCTGATTGATGGTTTCTGTCCCTGAGTGCTGCAACCTCTTTGTCTGGAGAGGGTGTGGTTTGGAGCTTTTACTGCCGGCTGCTTGGGGAAATGCTTCAGGTTCCTCGAAATAGAAGATTTCCTAACAATGGAATCCGTTTTTATTCCTCCTCGCTGGGATGCATTTTTATGTTAATACAGACAGAGAGAGAGAGAGAGAGAGAGAGAGAGAGAGAGAGAGAGAGAGAGAGAGAAGCTGCGCCCCGCCCTTCTTCTGTTGTGGAACAAAAGTGGCCAGCCCCCTATCACACAAGCACCCAGTGTGACACCCACTGACCGCTGCCACACCTCACACTCGGTGGATGTTTTAAGTTAACTCGTTTCACGGAGAAATTGCCACTAAGTTCCACGCGGCAGCAGGATACGGACTCTTTGTCCGCCCCTCCTTGCTTCCGGTTTGCTTTTCTCTTACGCACTACTGTCGTGATACAGCGTTGCCATAGTTACAAATAACAGCTATTGGATTATATAGAAGATCCCAACTTCCTTGACAGTCCCGGTATCCGCCCACTGTCAACAAGAGAGATCCGCCGGAGTGTCACCACAGATCACCTGCATCCAGGAAAGCGCATCAGAGACGGCGGCCGTCCATGTGTTGCGCGCTCCAGTCCACTTGAAAAAAATCCAACAACAACAAAAACAAAAAAAACTAACAAAAAAAAAACATTGCAAGCAATCTTCTTGAAGATAAAAACTCATTAGATCGGAAGCTTCTTGCAGATTGTACAGTGTTTTTTTCTGGTAGTTATGCAGCATAAAGGCACATTTATCAGCCCTTTTCCGAGACCGCGGTGTCTGGCGGCAGCGGCGCCAGCGGGGAAAGCGAAATTAACTCACCCGGGGAAGGCGATCCTGGCAGGTAAGTTCATCATGAAGTGTCAGCGTTGGACAAAATGTCACTACTTGTGCGAGTTACAGTGAAGCCAAAGTTGAATAGAATTGTGTTATTGTTTACAGATACTTAGTGTAAGGCTGTGCGTCGGAGTGAAGTGGGAGGTGTAGTCTACAGTGTCACAGTTTAAATAACCTACTGGAAAAATAGACCAAACAGCAAACCACCGATTCAGCGTGGAGTGAAGGAGAAGTTGTAGTATTCGCTCACTTAGCCTACATACAGTACACATAGAAAGATCATGTGGATATAACTGATGTTTTCTGCAGTGAAAATAGTTGAGAGTCAAAAAAAAGCTCGCTGTACCGCTGTAATAGTTTCTTTCTTTTTTTTTTTGCATTTTGTTTAGTGTCGTTTTGTTTTGTTGCTAGGATCACGACAAAGACGTTTTTAATCTTAAATGACAAGTTTCACTTTAAGTTTTGGGAGCTGAAATGTTACGAGCTGGTGGAACGAGGTATTTACAACAGTGTCACTACCCTGTTTTCTTCACCAACTCCTGCCGTTTTCCCTCAAACCATCTTGACCTTTGACCCCTTGAAGATTCTGTAAAAGAGAAATAGTCTGGAGATCTCTGTGCCAAATGATAAGACAACGGTTTTCTTCCTGTGTCCCGTCATGGTCAGATCTTTCCCGCTGCACTGATCTGGTTTTATCTCCCTAATCTAAAGATCACCCCTAGTGCACTTTACATAATGCCATTAGAGCAGAGTGATGCATCCAACCATGTAGGGGACACTGAGACAGAAACTGGAGCCATTCCTGCAGGGGCTCGGGTAGGTGTGTGCTGGTGAGAAAATGCAACTGAAAAGCTCCTGAACAGCTACGAAATAGACCTTGTGGTGGGTTTGTTTTCTCCACCTTTATTGTTTCTCTGTCAGATTGTGACCAATCTATCTGTGGTTCTGCTCTCTGATGCTGTGATACTGTGACCAGCAAATAGTCTGAATATATTCTGTCATCTCAGCGCTTCATTCTAGGGCTGTAACTGATAATTATTTTAACTGCTGATCAAATCTATTGATTAGGATTGGAGTAATGGGTTAACCATGTATTCAAATATAATGTCAAAAATGTTGATGAACACCCATTGTAAATAACCAGAGCCAAAAGACTTGCTTTGTTGAAACAGCAGCCAAAAATTATCATTATGTATTTTTGTGATTATTATGAAGCTGTAAAGAGCAAGGGTTTGGTATTTTTAACTGACAAATTATCAATTGATTGAGTGATTGGTTCAGCGCGTCTTCAGCCACGTTTGTTTGAGTCGTTTCTGCGGTTCATCGCTTTATCCCGGCCGAGGTTCAGAACCCCCATCCGTCTTTTCTTGCTGCTGTGCCCCCCTCCCTCAAACCCTTCGACCCCCTCGTGTGATGATGTTCAGGATGCAGCGGCTCCAGTTGATGAAGATGCTCTCTGAGGTGCTCCTGTATTAAGGCTACACGCTGGCTACACGCTGGTTTTTGGCAGCACACTGTTGATTTCAGCCGTGTGCTCTGGCAACAGTTACATGCTGAATAATTTATCCTTCTGAATGAATTCCTTTTGATGGAAGTTTACAAACAAACTGCTTTGGGGATGCAGCGAACCATTATTGTAGTTATTCTACCTTTTATTCTCTTGATTAATTAATTGATGGATCATTTTGGCTATCAAATATCAGAGAATAATAAAAAAAATGCCCTTTATAAGTTCCCAAAACCCAAGGTAACATCTTCAAATTGCTTGTCAATAATATTTAGATCACTACCAGTTCTATTACCAGTTATTTGTTTCAGCTCAAGAATAAAATGTAAACAGGGAGAAAATATTCTTCATGAATGCCCCAAATTTACATATGACTTTTGTCTGTAATAATAAAATGAATTTTTCCTCTAGATGTCACAAAAGGCGTGTATTTAATTTACTATATTATTATAAAAACAACTGTTGAGTAAACTGTAGAGTTAATGAACTTGTGGTGTGAGTGGAATTGGAAAAGGAGAAAAAAAAAAAAAAACTCTCCTGACTCATGTCACCCTGTCAGCTGCCAAGACATGGAAATGTGGCTGTGGTGACACTGCCCCCCCCCCCACCCCCCCACCCCTTCAGTCCCATGCAGCCTGATTGACTGGATGTGGCCCAGTATTGCGTCCTATTCCCCTCACTGTGACGTTCAGCTCGTCTCAAGCCTGTCTGTCCGGTTTTGCAACAGCAGCACGATTCCAATCTCTCTGTCTCAACTGTGTGCACCCTCTGACTCCTCCTGGCCTCACTGTCAAGAAACCATTGATTTATCCCTTTGTCTTTCAGAGGTTTGGAAATGAGAGTGTGTCAGAGCATCACTGGGATGACTCAGCGGCAGATAAACTGCCTCTTTGAATCTGACCTGAGATATTGTCCATTAAAGACCACAGCTGATCGTTTACACCGTCTGGATACAAATTCTTCTCACTCAGCTCAGTTATGGCATAAATACATACACAGCTGACACCTCTTCTGGTGTTCTGACGTGCTAATGCTACTTAAGAGTTATCTGTTATGGTTAATAGTATGTGAACGTGGAGAGAGCGAGGCACTTGTGCAAGCCTGAAGGCTGTAAGTAGACAAAGCAAGAAGTAGAAGGTCATAGCTTAATGGATTAAAGACCCCACATAGACAGTGGTTGGGGAGGAGGGGTGTACATTGCACATTTCCAAAGCTTTTAGAGGCCTGTGCTCTTCCTGCTGCCATTGGTTAGTTCAAGTCTTCTCTCAGCAGCCACTGGTAATGACTGAGGGAAGGAAGGGAGTGTTTTATCTGTGTGAGGCCTGAGGGTGAGACAGTGGTCTAAATGGGTCTCTGGTCCTGATTTTCTGGCCGTTGTGCATTCATACACTGCTGTGGCTTTCATTTGTAAGCCTTCTGCTCAGGAGAGAGTCGAGTCAGAGCAGCAGAGGAGTGGACAGAGATAAAGTTCCTTTTTTTTTTTTTTTAAATCTCAATTTCATGATAGAGTGGGTTTTCCACGGAGACAGCTTTGTTTTTTGCCACTTTTCTTGCTCTCTTTTCATTTTTCTCCCTCTCTTTCCAGCCTGGGGGCGGCCAGTTAGGTTTCGTGAGTGGCTGTCTCCTCTAAGGCTCAGAGGGCTCGTCAAACTATGGCTTACCCCCCCGTTTCCTAACGTCACAGGCGACGCACACAGTCCGCTCCCATACACTGTTTCCACTGCTTGCAGACCCAGAGTACCAGGAGGCGAGATAATAAATCACAGTCCACTCCTCTGTTCAACCCCCAGCCGCCCCCGCTGTAACAGCTTTTCAGCTAGATGTTGGTATAAAGCAGCCTTTGACACACAAACAAGCAGCGATGTAGGAATTAGCTGTCATCTAAAATACAGCAGGCCTTTGTGATGGTTAGCTTAATATTTAATTTTTGGTCTTTTTTCATCGTTGCATTTGCAGGTTTTATCTCATTAATTACAAATCAATATACTGAACTTTCTGTTTTCAATTTTCTTAATCAAGACTAAAGTTTTTTGATTGATTTTCTGTCAACCACTGAGTTTAATTCATGTCACTATTGTGTAGAAATGAACTTTCAGAGAGTTGAAACTTGGTTGGGAAAATCAATCAGGGTGAACATGTAGTTGCTATATTTTTTTTAATGTGTAACAAATTTTCAAGTAATCAATAGTCTAAGTTGCCCAACAACGATCTTTTAAAGAGCTTGAAAACTTGTTTTCTCCTGAGGCAAATTTCTGGCTCTTTAGCTGCTAAATGTTCCACTGCAGCCACTGTTTAGTCCTGAGAAGCTTGTGTATGGAGGGTTTTTTTAGAGCTTTTTCACTGAAAACAGCTGCTTTCAGCATCTGGAAACCGTGCTGAAGAGAGACCGAACCAAAACAGTAAAGTTGGCAAACCGAACAATGAGCTGAAAGAAGCTAAAATGCTCTGTAGAGCTGAGAGGAACTGCAGAGTCAGGGGGTAACTCTGATCTATTGTTAATATAAAAATGTTGATTATTGCCAGTACCTGCACGATTATTTGATAACGTAACTTGGACAAAATCAGAAAGCAGACTCGATATAAACTCTTGTAAAATTAAAAATTAAAGTTAAAGTTAACTGACTGGTCCTCAAATCAAGATAAGTAATCAATTAACAGATTAAGTAAGTAATGTACATTTAAAATATGCTTTTATCCCTCAGCTGTAAAAAGCCTGGCAGCCTCGTCTGCATCGGCACACTGTTAAAACAACCTGTGCGTAGCTGTCCTGTTTATGTAAATCACTGTACAATCTGCATGCTGCAGGGTTCGAAGCAGTTAAAACAGTTTCCATGTAAAATTAATCAACATCTTTCCTGTAATTAAGCAGCAGTGTAGCATTAGGGAGTGTTGTTCAGGACAGAGGAAGCCTGAAAGGCCAGACGTCAGATGAATAATTCTTTTCATGTTTTGCGTGAGGCAAACAGAAATATTATGGCTCTATTAATAGGACACCTCATGTTTGAAGTACATCAGTCCTCTGGCTATGTTCTCCATTTGGACTGGAGATATGGACATAATAACATCTTTCCCTTAGACTTCAGAGAGTTTAAAGTGAGGGATAATAATCTAAAGGAGGAACATCTGGATAAATAATAAATAGATTCTCTTGCAAATATGCTTAATTTGCTGGCACATGCACAAACACTCGTATAGATACACATTGTTGATTGTTTTGTGTGAGTTTTATTGTTTGAATTGAACTCAGTGTAGTTGAATTTCAGGTTTCAGAGCTTTAGAAAATCCACAGCAACTCACAAGGCAGCAGGCTAAAGCGAAGTCAAAACTGGTTATTACAAAGGAAATGGAGATTCAGATATGTTTAGAACCTGCCACATTCAGAGGCCATGTTAGATTGTCAGGTTGTCCTTCGAAAAGTAAAGTTTCTGAGTCGACCAGATGTGTTGGGTACTCATTAGAGTCACTGAAGGAGGCAGGACAGGACTTCAGAAACTGTCCCTCCCTGTCAGCTGGCTGCCTGCTCACCTGGCTTCCTCTGGGCCTCGCTGTACTGCAAAAGAAAAAAGAAAAAAAGTGACAGTCAATTTGTTTGTGTGAATCTTGCATTCATGGATGTGTGTGTGTGAATGTGCGCATATATACTGCATTCTATACACGTGTTCAAAAGCATGTGGACACGAGAGCTGATTTATTACAATTGAACGCATTTTTCGAGCCCAAATGCAAAACAAATTTCACCTTCTCAATTGATTTTTCTGCTTTCCTTTGTCTTGTGGGATTGGGTTTCTGACAAAGCATTTCTGATAAAGTACACTTGCAGCTTTAGTTTTTCATAATTTCCCGGCATCTTATAGAACAAATGATTAATTGCCTAAATGAGAAAATAATCAGCAGACTAATCATTTGTGAAAATATTTGTTAATTGCAACCCCAGTAAAGACCCTTATCCACATATTGCTCAGGGGCTACTTTTCATGGTATTTGTTAGACCCCTTACTCCCAATTAAGGGTGTTATATCCCTCATATTCTAGACAGTGTAGTTCCAACCTTGGGGTAGCAGTTTGGAAAAAGGCCCCTGTGCACAAAGTGAGGCCCATCGCAACATCAGTTCTCGACGACACAAAATCTCCTGTGGCTGAATGGGAGCAAAACCCTGCAGCGAAGGTCCAAAACATTGTAGGACGCCTTTCCAGAGGAGTGGAGGCTGTTACAACTGTTACACCTCTGGAATAAGATGCTCTATCATCACATATGGATGTAGTTTTTAGGTGTCCACATACTTTTGGCCAGTCAGTATGTGGCAGCTACTTAAGGTGGAACCCAGCTGTGGATTCTGAAGGGTGTTGATTAAGTTATAAATTTACCTTGTCTGGCAAGAGAGTGAGCATTACCTTCACACAGTACATCGACTTAGTCAGTATGTGTCTGATTTATGTAACAGCTGCCTAGTCTGCGGAAGATTCAAGTTTTTAATAGTCAGAAGAAGCAGGCGCTACGCTGCTTTTCACCGCCTCTGGGCTCTAGTATCACTCCAATGCCATTTCCATTTCTTTTGGTGTAATATTAAGTGTCAGAGATCCATGTGGATGCATTGATTTTATGACACAGTGCGGAGAAGAGGGTTTGGAGGGGGGTGAGGAGAGAGGACGGTGCTGCTGGGAGAAAAATGAAGAACGGGAGAGGAGAGCGGGCCTGTGAAGATAAAGATTAATGGCCATTTCTCTCATGTAACTCCCGTTTGGCAGCTACACAGGAGTCATTTAGGGTGTCTTCTGTAAAAGTGTGTGTATAAATATGTGTGTGTGTTGGATGCAGTCTGCAAAACGGACCAGAAGACAAAGTAGCTGCTTCTCCACAGACACAGTGTGTCTGATGAGGATTGATCATGTATTTGTATCTGTTGCTGAGTCGCTGTCTGTGAGTGACTGCTGGTTGGTTTTCACGTGCAACTCTGTCTTGGCTGAAAACTGATGAATGAAGTTTATTGTTTCTCTTTCTCCAAGACACACTGACCCACTGATCCTGGATCAGGGCGCGGCTGGAATGGAGCATGTGATTTCTGTTACGTCTCAGCAGGTCAACATTTACTTGCTATTCTCCCAGGATTAGAGGAATTACAGCGCAGTGGCCTGGTGATTAAAGTTCATATGTCTGTGTGTTACAGATTGTGTGTGCGAGATCACGTGAATGTCACGATTCAGCTGAGTGGTGCTCACAATTATTATGAATAGTGGTGATTAGGTGAATCCAGGTATAATCAATGATGGGTTTGTAAGCACTAAATTATGATTGTTCCAATTGTCACACAATTATCTGACTATTGATGCGCTGATATTAACTGAAATGCTCCAAATCACATGTTACAATGTGAAATTGCGTTGAATAAATAGATAGTGGTGTGACATCAAGGTAAACCAAAATAACGTATGATATAATTTTCAGGAAATATATGTTCTCATGTATTTACAATCTAATGCTATGGCACATTTAATGTCAAAGATGTGAATCACAAAAATTAAATATTAACATTTTTGAGATGACAAATGAGAATATTAAAAGCTCTTTGTCCTTTATTGATTTCCCTCATTGAATCAGCTGAGCTCACAGACGAGGAGATAAAGCAGATGAATGAAGCAGACGAGTCAGAGGCTGTTTAGGCTTTGAGACTAGTAAGGTGTGGGTCATGCAAAAAAGGGCTAAGACCTAATATCAAGAAGATGAGTGTGAATGGAAACCTTTGGTATTTAGTTTGTGTTGCAATGCCATCCACTTATAGCCCTCCCCTGCATGCCGTGAGTTAAATATATGTTTTTATCTTAAGCAGAGGCGATGCTGCTAGGTGCCATGGCGATAAAAGTCATGATGGCAGCAGTGAGGGTGAGGTGTCTACACTGCAGAGCTCAATAACATTTCTGTATGTTGATGAGTGGAATACTGACACGAGACTCAAAAATATACTAGCAACAGC